CAAATAGTTATTCTTTGGAATTACTATTTCATGGTGTCAACCATCCAGTTTCCATGAAACTTTTAATCCACCAAAAGGCGAACAACCAGGCCACCCCATTGTATTCACCGTCCAGTCCATAACTTTTCCAATTTGTCTGTTATTGTACAGAAAGCATGGTCACATTGCTCGACAAACCGTTGGCAGCCCTTTGTGTTGAAAAGGAGGCTTTGTTCAGAACAGCCACGCAACCTGACCGACTTATGCGTTCTTTTTATGTTTTCCACAAAAGTGGGATTTGTTTCCCTGTTTCTGAGTCCCGGTGAGCCGGGGTAGGTTCTCATGAAATTTAAAGATTAGTGCATCTGCACTTATCTACAATAATGTTTTGGTGTTATCATTTTGTATGGCACTAAACAGTTTGATCTTTGAGAGAGAATTTTATAGAGTTCAATAGCAGGGAGGAGGAAGGCATACGGAACAATGACTTACTCGTATACTATGAACTTGAGTAGATAAGTAAGTTGATAGTGTATATTGACCAAGAGTAGGTAAGTAAGAGTAACACATTACAGAGGACTTACTGTGAGTTTACGTCAAACGCATTCGATGTCGACTGTGTAAAAAAGTGTATGACGGATTGTACAGCGCCCCTAGTGGAAACTTTCAAGAACTAAAATCTTCATATATTTTTTTAACGCGCTCACTAGTGTTAATTATGAAAAATCTAAAACGTTAAAATAACGGTATCGTTGTGGCCAATGAGATGCTGTCATACTCACACTAAGCCCACAGAAGACGTCCATGTGCTACCTAGAAAACTGTCTCTTGATGTAAATTTTATTATGTAGTAGTGTTCAAAAAATATGACAACGTGTTTTCATAAATAAAAGACGTTTTTACCACTTCAGTAGAATCTGTGATAGTAATCCCATAAATTGTGAACGTCTTTAACAACTAAATCTAAAGGCTACAACTATTGACAAGGGTCAAAGTAAAACATGATCCGGGGAAGTGGAAAGTTTTACACCACACAAGAATTGATGAGGGCAAAAAACTTTTAATGGCTGGACGACTGTTCTAACAATATCTTCAGATACACAGGACTCTAGAAAGTTGTTGCTAAATCAATATTGGTACAAAGTTAGTCTAAAATATAGATAGTATAAATAAACTGCATGTAATCCTTCGTAGGGGTAGTATGTATGTATGTATGTCAAGATGTGAGAAATATTCGATTTTATTATAGTTATTCAAGAGAAAAGAGTTCTTCGAGAGAAAAGAGAGAGAGAGAGAGAGAGAGAGGGAATGAGAGACAGAGATTTTGAGCTCGTCGCCAAGGCTCTTCGTTAAATCACCTTGATGATAAATTTTGTCGGTAATAATTTTCGATAACTTAGAGAATATTTAACATTTTGTCACTATATAAAGATACAACCGGGTCTTAATGTCCCCAGTTATTGCCGTAAATCACTTCGATATTCACGCAATATTGCTGGTCAATATTGCCGAAACGTTGCGCTTACAAAGACCTAATTCCACCCCAACGTTTGTCGGTGAGAGCTAGAATTAATTGGCAGCGTGAGAAGGGAAGGGAACTCTGAAAGTATAAGTCGGTCGATAAACGCCCTCTGGCGGCAAATTGAAGTATTCCGTAACAACATGCAAATCGCAATGAAACCGTGGATACGTCCTGATTGGGGCAAAATTCGCGTCCAATTTCACAAGGAAAAGTCGTAGATGACGTCTCGGTTTCGAATTCTTTAACATTTTTTATAAAACAAATAAATTATTCATTCGTAATTTTTTCGTTTTTAATTTCTTTTTCTTTTCTAAAAATACTGCTTCAATGGACGCAATTTTCTTCTACTCTGGTGATGACACCATCGCATAGTCAAAAAGTATTCTGATAATGGCATAAATAAAACATTGACATAAAAGCCATTTACACAAAAACAAGGCACCAATAGCTCACGAAACTAATAAAAAGGAAACTTCCGTCCCCTTTGATGGTTAAAAGGCGATCAAAATTAATTGAACGCTTTCAACTAATAATTTCATGTCCTGGAAACTTCAAGGAAAACTGATTGGGTATTCCACGCCAAAGTTTGTTTCTTTCGGAGTTTTTAGATACACACAAACTAGGGTTCTTTTTAAAATTAATTGCAAGAAAATTGCTCAGCACAACTTTCCCAAACACGAAAAGTTTGACGCGATTTTCTGAGGGAACTTGAGTGGATAACTCAGCCAGTTCGGCTTAGCCGATTATTTTTTAATATTATTTGCTTACGTAAGTTGAAAAGCGTTTAAAGTTCGTAACTTGCCGTGCTAGAGTCTGGCCAACGAAAGCGTGACCTGGACTTTTTTAGAAGTTTCATTATGGCAACATTATAAATCTGTCAAAGACAAGTCATAGTCTGTGGTATACGAGTTTGTAGTATGGCCATGAGGTATTGAGGCTTCCACCATACCACTGCGATCTCAACCCGATCGACCTGATATGGAGCTCGGCTAAGCTTATGGTGGCAAAAAAGAATATTAATCTACCAGCAAAAGAAACCGAAGCACTGATTAAAACCTCATTTGGTCGGATAACTGCAGAAGACTGGAAAAAAATGACGGACCATGTAATACATGTAGAAAACAATTATAAACAGAGGGATAAAATAACTGAAGAAGAATTGGAAAAATTTATAATTAATGTAGGAGATGATGACTCCACTAATACCTCTAATGAATCCTTGGAGAATTAATTTTTAGACTCTGATTTTGAGTGGGATGAATAATCATCATCAACATCATTATTTATCAGCCTGTACCTACTTAACTATATATTTTTTTTGTAATTCCTATTTTCATTTATAAATGTTTTTGTATGTATTTGTTTGTGTCTTAATTATTTAAATAATTTATTTCCTTAAAACTTTTTTTACATCCTTGACAGTCATGGTTCCGTCGAAGAAACGGAGCCTTTTTTTATAAAAAAAATATACTAAATAATCAAGTATCAAATTATTTATATCCTACAACAATTAGTGTTACCACATGCAGATTTTTCAAATTTGCCGCGTTTTCTCAGGTCACGCTTTCGTTGGCCAGACTCTAGCAATTTAATTCACAAAATCAATTGCGCACATCCCAACTAATATTATAAATGCGAAAGTAACTCTGTCTGTCTGTCTGTCTGTCTGTCTGTCTGTTACGCTTTCCCGCTTAAACCTCGCAACCGATTTTGATGAAATTTGGCATAGAGATAGTTTGAGTCCCGGGAAAGAACATAGGATAGTTTTTATCCCGGTTTTTGAAACAGGGACGCGCGCGATAAAGTTTTTCTGTGACAGACAAAATTCCACGCGGGCGAAGCCGCGGGCGGAAAGCTAGTTTAAAATAAAGTTTGTTTATACTTTGACAGCAATAGACTGACATGCAAGGTGACATGTCAATGAAGTTTTCAGTTACTGTTGCCATTAATTTAATGGCAACAGTAACTGAAAACTTCATTGACATGGTACTAATTTCTTTTAATGGCATTAAAAGAAATTAGTACCATTAGTTTTCCGCAACATGGCGAGAGTTTTTATGTTCCTGGTCAGGCTATAAATGCTAACATTGCTAAAAAAATGTATGGGAAAAGGTCACTATTGAAGTTAGCAAACGTATCCTCGCCGAAAACATGTTAAAGTTTTCGGTTTTGATAACAATTTCTAACAAATTCTATTTTCGGCTAAACGCCCCCAATGCCAAAGATAATAAAGCGAAAGTGTAGAAACTACAATGAACTGTCCCACCCGTGACATTGACAGGGGGGCGCCACCGTCAACACCGGATCGCTAGTTCCGGATTTTTGCCTTGTTGAAAAGTTTTTTGTTTTTTATAGTTGAACGAGGAGCGCGGTAGCGCTCCCTGTCAATGTGTTTGGTGGGACCATAGGGTAGGACGTTAGGACCAGAGGCGGGGCAAGACCTAAATTTGATGTGGGCAAGACAGATTTCGCGAGGCCTTGTTCTGTGGCGACCTGAAGATGGATTTATATATAATGAAATGAAATAATAAAAAAAGGGTCAAAGGTCTATACATTGACAGTTTCTGATTTCTTGATTCAGTGATTATTTTTAAAGGAATATTGCGCCAAAGAATAATGTTCGTCACTTAAAACCGTGTTGTTGCTTAATTTTGTGTCTGATTATGGCTGAATTTGTTTGTAAAAAAATATATTTTTATTTTTCACTACATTGTTTAGCTATCAAGAATTTATATTTAATAGTCAATGTTCGTTTTGTGATATTGTCATCTCCACCTTGTATACATTTTTTCAAAATTTTTGATGCGCGAGGCCCCTTGTACCGCGAGGCCGTAGGCGGTGGCCCACGTCGCCTACGCCTTACGCCGCCTCTGGTTAGGACCAGTGGGTAGAACGGTTCAATGTAACTAGTTCATCTACTAATTCTACTATGATCATAACTATGAGCCTAATGGATCCACAGAGCACACGATTGCCCTATTAATAATCATAGTAGAAGATTTTATGAAGTTCGAATAGTTACTTGGGGGAGGCTACAGAAAACAAGTTGCCTTGAAATAAATAAATCCCAACAGCAGACTATGTTCAATGAGCAGCAGCAGGTTTAGGGATGTTTAAAGTAGCTGCAAGCTGTAAGTATGCTTTATGAATTAAAAAACCATGATTTCGGCCAATATTATTTATTTTGGTAGAGAATTCTTTTTTTTCAAATCAAATCAAATCAAATCAAATTAGTTTATTGCAATTGTAGGTACATATCATACATTGATGGATCTTAAATTTAAACGTAACTTAACTTAAAAATTCTTTACATATTTTTTTTACGAATGCGAGCTTATTATGAGTTTTTTTCAAAACGCTTATTTTTATTCACAAGTTTCTTCAAACGCAGAGGTAACTACTGAATAATAATGTTCAGTTACTTGAAAGTCGCAATGAGATTATTTTCCTTGTAGGTGTATGGTATGCACCTACCTATATTGGTCAACAAGCAGGCATTCGACCATCCTTTGACCAGTATCTGTTAACAAGTAGAAGAATAAATTAGTTAGTACTTACTTACTACTAATTACTACTAGCTATTACTTAACCTAGTAGTTTTCAAATAGTGAAATGTAAAATATGAAAATTATTGCTCTTTATTCCAGCCTAGGTCACTGAGATGAGAACGCCGCGGCGCCGCATCATTTTAAATAGCATTAATTATAATTTTTAAGAAAGCACTGTTTGATCTACAGTAGGCGCACGGCACAACAGGGATGGCCTGAGTTTAGCAGATCCGGTGTCTTGATCCCGTGCCTCCCTGTGGTCATGGCATGGCCCGCAATCGCTTACCTTTCCGAAACTCCTCAATGTCATTAATTCAAACTTCGATGTCATGTGCGCTGGTCTTTGTGACCTAAAAACATTCCGATTGCATGAAGAGACTGCGATTAACTTATTTATAACATGTAAGTGCCTATCTATTTAAAACTACTACAGAACAGACTGCACGGTGACATTATGTGCATCAGAAAAAATGTTTAAAAAAGCTTTAAAAGTTACAAAATTGATTATCATTAATATTCAAATTGGCATTGCAAGCGCTTTGGATCTATCTGTAAGCACCTATACAAAATTTACCTCAAAATAATCAAATTGACTAATGTACTAATCCTCCTATTCTTGGTATACCAGCGGATGCTGAAGGCTGCAGTTGCCACTCTCGCACTCTGAAACGTTTTAGTTAATGTTTAATGGAAACAAACAGAATGACATAATAGGTACATTTATGAACTTATTTAATCAATTACCTAATTAGTCCAGTCAATAAAGCATTATAGATGGAAAACTGTAGAACACAATTTCTGACTTCAGGACATTATTTAGACTAGTTAGGAGGTGAACATAACAAACCTAGTTCCAGCGAGTGGACTACACCGTGCGTATATTTAGACGAATCACTTTGAGCCACTTTTGACTCCTCATCACTCAAAAACTACTGTGCATTAACACTTCAAATTTGGCTCATGTGTTGAGACTTGCAAGATATACATCAGCTTCAAATTTCATAAATATGCCTCAAACGGTTCTTTAAGGTAAGTGCCCCCTACTTCGGTATATTAAGGCTCTTACGACTTTAACAATTTATTTAAAAATAACCAAGGATGATATCAGTATGAAAGCTTTTGTATGCTAAAGTTTGGTCTTTTGACAGTAACTTAATACATAATTTATAGTTATATTGTTTAAACTTTTTTTAATATTAATTGTTCTGCGGACCTCTTGTTTGGATCCTGTTTCGTGATAAAATTTTGCTCTGTTTCTAAGTTCGTGAACTCATGGCCCCTATTTCGGGATAAAGTTTTACGCATCGAGTTAGGATATTTTAATAATGATTAAGAGTTTAATAAATTTAAAAACGATAGTATAAATTTAGAATAAAATAATTCTGTGAAATTGATGATATTACTTACCTGAAACATTCATGAGAAATGATGTGAGTCTGTTTAGCTAGGTAGGTACGTACCTTTGTATAAAGTTTTGATTTATTATTCTAACAATATGTGAAAATATTTATATAACCATCAGAAATGTAGGGGGGCCTTACCCCCCCCCCCCCCAATAAAATTTCCAATTTTACAGACCTTCTAGAGCAGATGCCGCAAAAACTATACAAGATATAGAAAAACTTGACGGTCTCACCTGTAGCAAATTGAATAAGCTTTTTTTGGTTCATAGTAGTCATGTCACTAGGACGCATAGTTTCCGAGGATTAAGCGAAAAACCGAAAAGTGGTACCTTTAAACCCCCCTCTCCCCGCCGGCTCAAGGGCTAAGGGCGGGGACTTTTGCTATGTTTACCACCTAACTAGGCTAAATAAAATCCCGAGGTCAGAAATTGTGTTCCACGGATTTCTCTCTACACCGTCGTTAAGGCATTCATTGATTGGACTAAATTCAAAACTTCAGAGATAAGACATTTTAAGATTGGAAATATTCAGAAAGCCAGGCGAAAAAAGTTATCATTGTTACGACCAGAATCTAAAGTGAGATAATATTGAATTTAGGTAGTGTACCATATCTGCAAGCAGCTGTCCTGGCCAGTACAAGATGAAGAACGAAAGGACAGTCTTGATAATGTACCAAATTTGTACAAAATATCTTTGGATGTCAATCTGAAATATTATTTTTATATTAATTACTAGCTTTCCGCCCGCGGCTTCGCCCGCGTGGAATTTTGTCTGTCACAGAAAAACTTTATCGCGCGCGTCCCTGTTTCAAAAACCGGGATAAAAACTATCCTATGTTCTTTCCCGGGACTCAAACTATCTATGCCAAATTTCATCAAAATCGGTTGCGAGGTTTAAGCGGGAAAGCGTAACAGACAGACAGACAGACAGACAGACAGACAGACAGAGTTACTTTCGCATTTATAATATTAGTTGGGATAAATAAAACATATTACGGCGTACAGCTATGTAAGCCGCTGGGACAGAAAAGTTCCCACGAGCCGGAAGACATAGTGTGGGCAGGCCTCCTACTAGGTGGACCGACGATCTGGTGAAGGTCGCGGAAGGTGCCTGGATGCGGGCGCCGCAGGACCGGTCTTTGTGGAAAACCTTGGGGGAGGCCTTTGTCCAGCTGTGTGTACCAGTTTTCTAGATATGACGGTAACAAAATCTATTTAAGAGAGAAAAAAAGAAACAAAAGAAGTTGCTAAATCTATTTATTAATTAATTTAATTCTCAGGGAGTGAGTTCCTAAAATTAGTCTCAACCGACGCACTACTAGAGTCTCTAAAAANATAAGCTTAAGAAGTTGGAGCGCTAAGCTAACGGTGAGAGCAACATTTTCACCCCGCACGGCTGTTTTTGGCTCTCTGAGAGTTTGAAGCTTCGTATTGCTCTCATTTTTGGCGCCACAATGTTAGTACTTGGTTTTTTAGATAGCTTAAATAATAGAGTTTTTGTAGTAATAAAGAATTTTTATAAATAATATTCCATTTGCTTATTATATGAGCTAGAAAAAAAACTTACGAACTTACGTACTATCACGAACTAGTAGCCGTTTACCTTAGATATTGACGTCCAAAAATCTACATATCTGACCTATAGACCAAATTCTAACCACTTCCAGATGACCTCGAAGGTTCAAATTAAAACCAGTAAATTTTAACATTTCACATGTGATAGATAGATTTTAGTGCTCTAAATATCGATTTTTGAACGTCAATACCTAAATAACCGTTTGAGGTATATTTATGAAATTTGAAGCTGATGTATATTTTGCAAGTCTCAATACATGAGCCAAATTTGAAGTGTGAATGCACAGTAGTTTTTGAATGATGAGGAGTCAAAAGTGGCTCTAATTGGTTCGTCTAATTATTATACGCACGGTGCAGTCCCCTCCATGGAACTAGGCTTAACATGCGGGAGCATGTCTATAGTGTTTGCTTAATGTTGATTTAGTCGATTTTCTCCTGACTCTTGACGGAGGAAGGAGCCCTGTAATCCACGTCATCGGTCGTTTTATTGAATGTCCGATTTTATAGTTTAGCTGCGACATCAGCTTTAAAGCGAAGCAGGGGAAAGATTTGTGCAAGAAATAGTAATTCATGATGCGGCAGCTAAACAAAATCAACTTTAAAAATAAATAATTCATTTTATCCACTAATACTGAGACTATAAGAATTTACTAAGTAGGTACTGAACTACTGAGTAAATATTTCACATTTGTTTGTGTAATATTCCTATTTTTAAGTACTAAAGTTATTTAATAATCAGCTTAACTAATTAAAGTAATCTATGGTAATAGTTAACAATATAATTTACATTTAAAATAAGTTTCTAAGGTGACATGCACAATTCGATTCGATGACCATCGAAGGTCAAAGGTCATGTCAGGAACCATTTTGACTTATGGCTATGTGCGTAAAATAAAAGAGGATTCTGCATAGAACGTTTCAATACATACGTTTACCAATTAATTAGGAGTAATAAAAATAATTAAATACGCACTACTCATGCGAGCACTAAAATCTTATATCTACGTAAGCACTTACCTACTAGGCAACTAGTTAAGCACTAAAACTAGGTGGGATAGGTATTAAAATTAATTACAACACTCACCCGAGACGCTTCGCAGGGACTGCGAGTGACATAAGCGCCGAGCCGAGCCGGTCGTAAGTTGCTCCCGTGCATTGAATGCATAGAAAGCGTTCACTCGCAAGGTCATAATCTGACGTTCACTGAGCGCGCAATCCAAATAGGTAATTTAAATAACATCTTTGTGCTCGCGCCGGACTAAGCTTACAACATGTACAGTTATAGTTGTTTAATTCAATGTAAATATAGTTAATAAGATATATTTGTATTATATTTGTTTAGTTTTTAAGTAGTTTTAAGTCTTAAGTTAAGTTGTAATAATTTTAAGTTGAATATTTAACGAGCCGTTACATGTGGACGTCTTTCGGCTGAAACGAACGAACGGATTAATATTAGGTAAATAGGTACCTATTAAACCCAGTGCCTTTCTTACGAGGTGGAGCCATAATAGTACTAACATACTTGTACAGCCACGCTAATTGTTAGTTCACACTGCACTGCCAATAGGATTAGGTACTTTAACTATTAAAGCCGGCTTTGCTGCTTCAAATATAACAAACTACCAAAACAGTACTTATGTATGTAAAAGTGGCCAAATAGGTAGTATGGTAATTGATAGAGCTGTGCTCTTTCTTTAAAGTTCCATAAGTAGGTATAACCAATGTGAGAAAAAAACTTACACTATTAATAGTCATCAGTGTGAAACCCTGGCACCCCAATTTTTGTGAGGCCGCCAAAAGATCTCCACAATACAAAATAGTGAAAATATCTCTCAGCTCGCAAGTTAGCCTGCAATAATTTAGTTAATTAACTAACTGCACAGCTACATCGTTCTAATTTGGCTGAGAACGGACTTGGATCATCATCATCATCATCATCATTTCAGCCAATAGGACGTCCACTGCTGAACATAGGCTTCCCCCAATGTTTTCCATGTCGATCGATTGGTAGCGGCCCTGCGTCTAACGCTTTCCTGCTACCTTCATGATGTCCTCGGTCGACCTTTTGGGTGGACGTCCCACGCTGCGTTTTCCGGTATGCGGCCTCCATTCCAGAACCTTGCTGCCCCATCGGCCGTTAGTTCTGCGTACTATGTGCCCTGCCCATTGCCACTTCAGCTTGCTAATCCGTCGGTGGACTTGAATGGAACTGTGAAAATAATCTTATGAAGTTACAATACTCACGTACCGATTGATTTTCTGATGATATTGAATTAAGTTTATTATTGTTTCCTCGAATTTTTCTTCATTAAATTCCATTTTCATTATATTTTCTATGTCTGCTTGCACCAAGAGATACACGAAGCTCGCGTTCACGGCGATGGCGCCCTGGAGACAGCGACATGTTATTGATACTATGTTCACCGACAAGTCTAGAAAGAGGAAAGAGCTTGTGAGATATTACTGCAAGTAGAGACATGTCTTGAAAATACATGCGTCAATTAAAAATATTAAGTGAGGGTAGCACATACAAATAACGGCTGTCAATAGTTCAATTAATATCTCCCATTCGATGTCTCCTTTCAAGTAGACGTTGACGAGCGGCCACACCAGCGCTGAGGACGTTTTTATCAAGACTTCAACCATTACAGCCAAGAACACTCCTAAGAACAAATTATTTTTTGGGTAGTATGCTTTAAAAGAACTTGATTGCATAGAAAAACTTGGGCTTAAGAACCAAAAAAATTTTAAAAACCTTTAAATACGAAATTAATAAAATGTGTGCTGTAGTATTTATCCAAAGGGAGAGTTGACTGCCTTCTCTCCTCTTTTGACAACATCATTTCATCGATCGTAACTATTAGATGGACAATTTTCTTTCCATGCATGTTGAAGATAAAACATTTTAAGATTGCTGCAACAAGGAGTTAATAAATATTAAAGAAACTGGGCTAAACTATATTTAGTAGGCATTAGACTCTCTTATAGCATCACTAGCTGCTAATAAGTAACTATGTAGCCTGTAAGCGGCTAGAAGCTCTAAATGTAGAGTGGAAGCGGACCTCACTACGTCGAAATGCTGAGGTACAATCAATTGTCGAGCTATACAATTTTATTAAGGATTAAGATTGATTGCTAGTGATGTTGATGTATGGTAGACCGTAGACCTACACATAAAGTAGGTGGGCTCCTTCAGGTAAGTAGTCCTTCAAGAACCTTGTGTAGTCTGAAATTCTTTAGTCTACTCTACTTTCGTAATCATTAGTATACTCTTTGACTTACCCTGTGACGTTGTGTTCAGTGTATTAAACACAAAGAAAGGTAAAAGTCTGTTTTGGGTACTATCTATCATTTTCAAAATATCCAGCGTAATAAACATATAAATAACTATGAACAAACAAATCTTGAAGAAACTCAGCGAGTGAACAAAAATGTTCATCCTGAACACCCCTAGAACCTTTAGCCACAGTTCTAGGCTGTTCTGGTGACTTTTGTTGAGTTTTTTGAAACGATCCATGAGGCGGTTTCAGTACTAAAGTGACACTACAGTTTCGTTTCAAATTAAGTTTCTAGACTAGATAGGTAATCATCATTGTTCAACATGCAATAAACATATTCCATGCAATAATTGTATTTGAAAAAGACAGTTGATACACATATCGTGTATAATAATTACACAAAATACACACACACACACACATAATTATTGTGTACTCTGTTGTGACCAACCTTTATAAACAAGTAACATGTAAATAATACTTCCCGATAGTAAATTATGAAATAAAGGTACTACCTACTTATAACCGCGTCATACGTATCTAAAATTAAATAAATGTAACCAGCCCATCTATTATAGCTGAATATTTAATATGTAGCCAGCTGAATAAAGTTCACAAACAGGTTTATAGTACCAAGGAAACCAGCACTATACAAACATTTAACCACTTATTAACTTTACATAAAAGTAAATGTTAAACAGAATTATTCCTATCAAACATTGACAAATAATAAATAGGAATTTACATCGTGCTATCTAGTCCAAAGTAATGTGTACTACTAGAACACTAATCACATTGCATAAACATTGGTTTAAAACTAATACATAACTCTACTTAAGTACCTGCTTATTTAAAACCTGCACTCTTTGTATTGAGAAAATTGTAAGCGCTGAACACCGTGGCCAAACAATGCAGATTAATGGACAATACAGGGGGAGGCCTTGTCAAACAGGGTCATAATTAATTTGGTTAAAACGAAATGAAAACGGACTACACAGGACTTCACAGGACGGTCTAACTACTAGACCAGAAGGATTTTTTAAAAGTAGTTTTGTGGACCTATGAGACCCCGCCAGGAAAAAAAATCGTTTCCCTGCCGATTACGAGCTTTGATTTTTTATTTGAAAACTTGGAAATATTCTTTTTTGTTTTCTAATAATAATTCAAATGTTTTATTGCAATTTAGATACGGTTGTACTCTCTCAAAATCAATTCAGACTAATAATATAAAGGAAGAACTAACTTTACGGATTTTGTTAAGTTGGTACTAATTTCCTGGCGGGATCTGGCAGGTCAGGTCCCTGTTCCTATTTAAAAAATCTGTCTGGTATGGACCACCCCGTAGTTATGTAGAGTACATTAATAGCATATATTAATTATTCTGTGTTTCGTTATACGTATAACGAAAACTATACATTTCACTTGCGTGCTTTTATATTTTTTACATCTAATGTTTCTTACAAATCCAAATTAGTAAAAATCTTCTGTAAATACAGTTGTTAGAAAAGACGCGTAGGACCACGCTCGGCTCAAGAGCTGCGAACAAGAGGATGATGTCAATTAAATAGAACACACATTAATGCCTCAAATAGCCTATTTAACTGAAAAAAAAAAAACTAAAATCATAATGTAAAATGTAATTTTCATTTGGTAATCATAATGTAAAACGTAATTATTTTCATTTGGTAATTTAAGATTCGGTATTTTATAACACGTACCAATCCGAAACTCTCGAGTGTCACTAACTCCAATTTAGTCGCAACCATGTAGACCGGAGTCTGGGATCTATAACATTATAGGAGTAATGGTATGAGTAGGTAGTGTTCCAGGTACTATAGGTACCACATACTTAGGTACACTACTTGAGTAGTGTACCTTATAATATGCTTGTGTTATGGGTCATCATAATCATCATAATTTCAGCCATAGGACGTCCACTGCTGAACATAGGCCTCCCCCAATGCTTTCCATGTTGATTGATTGGTAGCGGCCTGCGTCCAGTGCTTCCCTGCTACCTTTATGATGTCGTCGGTCACCTTGTGGGTGGACGTCACACGCTGCGTTTTTCGGTACGCGGCCTCCATTCCAGAACCTTGCTGCCCCACGGATATACTACTTAAATACATGCTTATTATACATACATAGTAACACCCAGACCCGTCACAGAAATTAAAATTCATCATTTCAATTTCTGCCCGGCCGGGAATCGAACCCGGGACCTTCGGGACTACACAAAACGGCCGACAATGAATGGGAACCAGAATGCAGTTTCTGTATTCGGGATAATGACCTTATAATGATGACTTTGAGTAATGAAGTAATCCTCCTGCCCCGGCTGTACCAGCCGCAGCGGTAGGCCGCGTCCGCCACGCCTGCGCTCTGCAACGAGCACAAATAAGCAACACCTGCTTCACGAATACTTTCAAACGGTACCAATAAATTAATAGGTTACAGAATAAACTGGAACTATCTGAAAATCTGCTTCCATACTAAATGTATGCCAACCACACAATATTTGATGTTTATTTTTTTTTTAATTAAACAATAAACTTATAATAAACTCGCAAATTGGATAGAGCTCGCACTTTTAGGATCAGTAACCAGTTTTACGATATCTTGTGTAGTTTTTAATATTATGTGGCTGTATTAGGTATATGTATGGAAGCTTCTGTAACCTATTTTGATACCGTTTGAAATAGAGCTCATGAAGCACTTTCAGGATCAGTAACTAGTTTTTTGATATCTTGCATTTGTGGTTTAGAATTAATAATCCAGTCACTTAACGTTTCCACCCTGTAATGTTATTCCTAATCATTTTTACATAGACAATCTAGAAATTTATAAACAGAGTCATGCCCATACATGTACTTGGAAAATGACTGCACAGCTAAATATTCCGACGATCTAGCCCTTCCAACCTGTTTTCACAAATAATCATGTTTACTTAGTAGGTAGTATGAGTGGTGAATATGGGCAATAATGGGCATGAAGTTCGATTTTTTAATTAGTGACTTTTTACAAGTTTTTACCAGACAATGTTACCTACAGTTTTCAGTTCTCCTTCTTTCTTAAAGTTAAAAGCACAATTGACTTACATAGGTACTAGTACCTATTAATGAAAAAATTTAATTACACATACCATATCCGCAACCAATTGCCCTGGCCAGTAGAAAATGAAAAGTTTAATGATTTCCGAGAAAATAGCCATAATATTTATATAAATATCTGAATCAAAGCGCTGAAACAAGATAATATTTATTGTTAACGCTATGCAAGGCTTTATAGTTAGGTAGGTACTTACGATTAATTTATTTTTATTATTTTACTTTATTCGGAAAACAAACAGTGTAAATTTTATTAATGTTTACTTTAATAGTACTAAGCAGGTACATGGTATGATAAAATTTCCCTTCTACGATCTGAGGATAAAATCAAGAATTTCTTAACTTTAAAGTTACACGTCATGCGATAATTTCCTTCATTTATTGTACCACGAGTAACGACTTAAGCTTGAACTCCGCACAAAATTAAAAATCGATGTTGTGCAGTGTCCTCGCTGGCCAGATAATGACATGCCATTAGTTTATTACAAAATATCATTATAATTGTGTAACAACCGCGATGGCGGTCTTCCGACACATTGAATCATATCATGGGCTGATCAAACTATGTAGTAAAATATTTAATTGCATGTCAGCAAATTAGTAAATATTTACTTACATGGTTCATAATCTTACGTCCACGTATTGCCATACAAGGTGCTGCTATCACAATATCAAATATCAATATATTGCAGAAAATATCTTTGATTTCAGAAAAAGTTCTGCAAAAAAAAAAGGAATTGTAATTTCACAATATGAAACTAACTAACTGTGTTTCTCTATATCACCTATAGCAGCAGGTCTTCGGATCATCTTACTATTTAATAGAATCACAGGATTACGAGTACATTTAGGTAGGTACTATATTATGTAGGTGCTAGATAAGAGGAAAGATCAAGGTGCCGCGAAGCTTGTAGTTAGGTAGAACTACTTACAACTCATATAACTAATTCATATTAGTTAGAATATTCATTATAGGTATTACTTAGTAATATAAATAACAAAGTAAATACTAATCTTACTTTAATATAATAAAAGTTTATCAAACTCCAATACAAAACTCCGGTTAAAGGTAAAGTGATGCAAAGCAGTTCCGTTAACACCTCCAGCTAAGCTACATAGTTTATGCTTGAGGAATGAGGAGTGGGCTCACACCACTGTTTAAAGCAGTAGTCCAAAGAATGATGAGGTTTGAATTGAACTATTGATTAATGATTTGTCATTTGATGAGATTGTCGCCTTAAAAATTAAATAATCTGACTTTGGTCGCGAAAAATACGATGAAGGCTTTATTTATTTAAACTTTAATGACAAAATAAATTTGTACATAAGGCGAACTTAATGCACTAAAGCATTCTCGACCAGTTTACCTTTGGGTTGAGCATAAAAGAAATTTTTTTGGCGGTACTTCTCGTGCAGGAAAGAAAAACAAAAATGCTACATACATACATAAATAATATATAAAATATGCAATAAATAAATGTGTATATGTCGCAGTAAGATAGATAAAGCCGTAATATAGTTATATCCCTAGGGATATAATTATATACCGTAACATAGTTATACGAAAGCGATTCATTACTATCTCACTAGGAATATAGTTAGAAAACGGCCCAAGTTTAGTGATATACTTATATTACTAGATAAGGTTTAGTGAAATAGCCAGTGAAGTCATAAAATTGGAACATCAATTGGTATCCTGAAAGATAGGTTACCCAGAAATACAATACAGCTTTCAAACATTAGGTACTTTGAATGATCCCATACCAAATGAAAACTTGTCACTGAGAGAAATGTGCCAAAAATTGTCGTTCTTTGGTGGCTAAGATTATTTAAAATGTTCGTTTATAAATCGAAAATAGTGTTCTACTAAAAGATGTGCCTGTAGAAGCATTCAGTGCTATGTAATTCTAGATGTCATGATTCCTCTCTTCTTGTCTGAACAAAAATTAAAAAGAAACCAAGATCTCAACAAACTCAAAGTTGATAAGAAATATTTTAAAGCTAATCAACAGTTTTGATATATCTTATATCAAAACTGTTGATTAGCTTTAAAATTTTTTAATGCTTGATTAGTTTTAATTGTATTGTTAACGTTTAAATTCCAAAAAATATAATCGTTTTAATTATAATTGGAATGTCACAAAGTATTGTAACTAACGGCAGGATACATTTATAAAGTTGTTTTTTTAATAAAGATAAAACCAATATAAATTGTTTTAATTAATTATACAGTGTGTTTGGGATAGGGCTTGCGATAATTTAAGGCGATGTTATTATGTCAATTTTATCGACAAAAATGACCCCATAAACGTGCCCGTCAAAACTGAATTTTTTGACTAAAACTAAAATTCATTAATTTTTTTTAAGGTTTTTGGTCATTATTTTTAATTTTTGTGTTTTATATTAATGACACATATTATTGGCTTACAAATGCAATTTTTTATTTATTTGTAAGACGGGCACATAAGAAATACAAACATTTTTATGTAGAGTCACATAAAAAAAAATCCCCCCCCCTATTCCAAGAGGAGGGGGTGGGCCCACATATGGGGCATTTTTTTTCGAATTAATTGACATCACAACATCGCCTTAAATTATCGCTAGCCCTATCCCAAACTCACTGTATATGGTAGATTTCTATTTAACTAAGCTTTATCAAGTAATATAATAACACTGAACTTAATCTAGTAATATAGTATATCAATCACTAAACTTGGGCCGTTTTATAACTATATTCCTAGTGAGATAGTAATAAATCGCTTTCGTATAACTATGTTACGGTATATAATTATATCCATAGCTGGGCACCGTTAATCAAATAGTTAACTTCGTTAATCGTTAAACCGTTAATAAAAAAATTTACTTCATTAAACGTTAAAACGTTACATTTAGCAAAATTTAACGCAAGTTAACGTTAATCGTTAATCCGTTAACACATTATAATAAACGAAAAAAAAATTGTATGCAAGGTTCAAATAATTTCGAAAGCTTGTATCGCGCATGAAATTTATTCCTCTTTTTAGCCAGACAGTTTTGACAGTTCCAACTCCTTGCCAGACAGTTTTTTTAGGATAGCTGCCAAAGCCACGATGACCCAAACTTCATAATTCACCAACATTATATCCTATATTGGGAGCATACGCTGACAAACTTTCAGCTTTTATATTATGTGGGATAGGATGCTCAACCACAATAAGGAAGCTAAGGTGTGCGGCGGAGTGTGCCATAGTGAAGTAGTAACAGCGCCATCTGTTGGTCACTAGTTTGTATTGGCGTCGCCACATATAAAATGACGTTGGTCTGGCGTTCACCAGCTCTTAGTCTATAGTAAGTATCTCAATCTCAGAGCCTTGGTTCAATTAGCACCATTGTGCTCGACAAGACAAATCCAACAAACCCAAACTCGATAAGTATCCACCGTTTCGTTTAGGAATTTCTATGGCCACCTCCTGACTCCATCATCAGGACCCTGGACATCATCTGGTACTAAAGAGCTCGAAAAGACAAATCCAACGAACCCAAATTCGATGTGATTCCGCCGTTTCATTTAGGAGTTCCTATGGCCACCTCCTGACTCCATCATCAGACCAGCTCAATGGTACCACAACATTGCATTTTCATCGTACTTACATAAGTATACCAAATTGCAGCTCAATCAGTTGAGGAGAACTGGTCATAAATTCGGTTGCAAGATTTGTCCCACACTTACTTACTAACAAGTGAAGTCAATATAAAGCTTGTAAATAAATAAAAAAAATGCATTTTTTATATCGTTTCTTTCTGGTTACAAAAACTGTTGTTTTGGGTTCTGGAAGTTCTGGAAGTCCGAACGTACTTGTCAGAACGCGTTTTTCTAGTGTTTTTCAGCGTGCCTGCTGTATCTTTTTGGTAAATAGTAGGTACTGGATTAACGATTAACGGACTTAGGATCATTTAACGGAAGTTAACGAGTCCGTTAACATTTTTTAAAGTTAACTTAAAAGTTATTCCGTTAATAGAAATGTTAACTTCGTTAATTAACGATTAACGGATTAACGAGTTAATGCCCAGCTATGATTATATCACTAGGGATATACTCGTAACTATATTACGGCTATAACTATCTTACTGCGACATATACATAAAATAGATGATTGAGTTAATCTGAAATTACAATTCATACTTTCTGTGGATATTAGACATACGTTTCTTCAGTTTATTTTTTATAGTAAATGGTTACTCTTTATCACTTTTCAGTCCATATTTTCATTTGTGAAGTTCAATAAGAGGGTTTGAAGTACCGAATACATTTCTGATGGTAACGAATGAGCCCCGTGAGTCGCCGCTCGACCTCCTCGTCGGCCAGCGCCGGCGCCGCGGCGCGCTCCAGCTGCTCCTGCAGCGCCAGGAACTGCAGGCCGGCGTTCACGGTCAGCGTGCTCAGCAGGCAACGGGAATTTGTCACGAACACTTTCCCCAACCAGTCTGGAGAAGGATACTATTACTTCACACTAAATAATGATAGTAAGTTATTTAAAGTAATAATTAGCTTTTTCAATCATAAATAGAAATAAGTATTTTAAAAAATTGTGCTTTTGAAAATGAAAGGTAACTAAGCAAACATATTACGAGTAGCAAGGCGTAAAACTGGAAACCGACTGGATTTAGATTTATTAAATACGAAGAATGTTTAATGTTCAAAACGATACCTACAAATAATAATAGAGGCCGCTGAAATAATCCGCTGGCTTGCAGAATCAATGTAAAAGAGCGACCACACGTAAGAGAACGTTGTCAAAAAAATTGCTTCAACCACGACCAAAAAGAATACACCTACAATAAAACAACTCCACATAAGATCAATCTTAGCTCAAATGTCTATGTCAAACAGGATGTTATTTTATATTTGTTGCATGTGGTCTACTTACCTTTAAAGTATAAATTGGATGAGCGAAGGTATTTAGTAAAAATTTCTGAACTCTCGCTCCTTATCCACAACTCGTCAATGGAAAATATGGCATTTGAAATGTTCTTCCCACGCATGCTTATGATATAGCACCTCAAACATACTGTAATTACAATCAGATTCTTAAGGCTGAGAACATTTCACTCGAAACAAGAAAACATGCAGACATTGCTTGTTTCTAGGTAGTTCAAAATTAAATCTAAGTTCCTTTGAGTAAAGTTTAGTATATTTTGAGTAATGTAGATTGTAAAAAATTAAATTGGCCAAGTGCGTGTGGTGCCACGCGCAGTGTAGGGTTCCGTAGTTGTCCGTCGTTACCACAATATATTTCAGAAGCAAGCAATTACTTCATCTAAAGTCAATTTTCTTCTAAGGAATCAAATGACGATTACTCTTTAAACAAACTGATGTATCTTAACCGTTATAGTTTTCCTTGAAAGTTCATGAAAAGCAGTATTATTACAATTTTTTCTAGATTTTTCAAGCCAACAGTTTAGTTTTTAGGGGCGCCCTACTCGAACATAAATTGGCACTCTAAACTTTAATAATTTGCAAACAGATCCCTAAATGGAAAAATATACATACCTATATAGCTAAATATAATAATATACATACCTCCACAAAATTTCAGCTACCTAGTGTGCCAATAGTTTCCAAGCAAAACCTCGGACAGACAGACAGACAGACAGACATTATCGAAACTAAAGGGTTCCTTGTCAGCACCACGGAACCCTAAAAAGTATATTTTGAGTTACCTGGTAATGTTGTCATTAACGAAACAAAGTTATGAATAATTTCAAGTCCTGTATTGTTATTAAAGTTGAATCTCATCAGCACGAGAAGTATTAAAGCCACTGACGGCAAAAATATCTTCAACCAACTAGGGGAGTCGGTAAAAATATTGAACCCATAAAGATTCAAAACTTTAATCCACAGTTTCAGACTCTGGTAATGATTTTTATTAAGGTTTATAAAACGATCCATGGTGTTCGTTATTCGAGAACAATGTAAAAATGCAATGAACGGACTATACAGTAAGTTTACCCTACCCACGAGTAATTCAAACATTAGTTCCAACGTATAGGTAAGTAGTTAGGCAGTATAACCTACAATAATGCCATAAAAAATTCAACGTTTACTTCATGTGCACTCGCGTTAAGCAAATAGAAACCAATTACATTAAGGCCCGATTCGACCAAACTTTTATCCGAGAATAACTCTTGGTATAACTGGCACGTTGACAGTTTTAGTATGGGAAATAATTCTGAGATTAATTTAATATGAACTTCTTTTTATGAAATTCTTGTTTGGTCGTATCCACCCTAAAGGTAGTAAATTAAAAAACCGTGCCGTACCTACTCACATTGCCCCGTTGAAGTAAGACCAATGATAAAAAGTTTTAAAGTCAAAAATTTGTGTAACTCCATACAAAAACACCGCTGCCGAGTCAATCCAAAACACTGTACGAGTCGACTTACTTTCTTTTGTTCTTTTGAGAGTTACAGTGTTTTGGATATTAGTTACGGTTAAAGTTAGGTGGTGCAACTCAGCCTTACTGTACTGATCCGTTTTTTTTATTAAAAAATAATAATTAATAGTTATCTACTCCAAATATTCGTAAAAATAAAAATGTATCAATAAATTCATTGATAATTTAATTATTGCTTTCATTTGCAATCTTACTTAACACCAGGTACGATTGCAGTCAAATACCTGCCTGGTCCTGCATAAAAAAATGACTTACACATGTTTGCACAGCAGACTATGACATACTTATTAAATAATTAAAATAAAAGAAAGACAACATTTATATTAATTTCATTCAAGAACCATGTAGGTACGAAGACTACGTAAGACTTGTGGTATGACTTTCAAATACATAGCGTCAATACGCTACGGTAGCGTAGGGCTACCGTAGATGTACTCGTATTTAGCTTATTTCAAACATTAGATAAAGAAGAGTCATTTTATAAGGAAGTAAAGATAACGATAGGTATAGTCATGGCTTACTCGTACTATGACGCTCACTGATTACTACGAAGCTCACCGCGCCTTTTGTATGTAGTTTTTATTTAATGAACGAGCGACAGCTTTCACATTCCTCAGTTTTTCATAATAATTTTTCACAAGGAAGGAAGGATCTTTGTGTCCGAAACTATACGAAAATAATCATGTACGGAACTCTAAAAACTTTATAACAAAGACAGCTGGTTAAGTAAATGTGTTGGCATATTTGCTATTTTAATAATATGATGCTATTTATTCAAGATGTAGTAGTTTTGTTTACATAATATGATAATAAGCAGGCATTTAGCAAAATAGGTAGAGTTCATTCAGTTAGGTATAGTGGCTGATGAGTGTTAATCATGTCAAGCAAGTTGCAAGAGAATAATGGTTACAAAAAAGATTACCACACTATAGATCAAAATGTGTTTGACGGTGTGTTTCTATTATAATATTTGATCAAATCAACCTGGCGTCAAATTTTCGCATTCTAAAAGAATTGAAAAGAAACTGACAATATATTACGTAGTTCTCACTTGAGTTTCTTTATTTATTGTTTCAATTAGGATCAGAATTCAATGTATAATTTTCAGTTTCTAAATGGGGAACAAGACACAAGCAATGCGTCCTGTTGTTTTTCATCCTGACCATCGCCTACAGCACGCGGTCGTGCATGGGCGTGGCGCTGGTGGCCATGGTGCAGAACGCCGGAGCATCCGCGGCTAACGCCAGCGCACTCGGCGCCACGGCGGTGGCTAACGATAGCGCACTCGGCGCCACGGCGGTGGCTAACGATAGCGCACTCAGCGCCACGCCCGCGGCTAACGATAGCACCCTTGGTGCCACTCTCGCGGTTAATGGCAGCGTCCTTGGTGCCACTCTCGCGGTTAATGGCAGCGTCCTTGGTGCCACTCTCGCGGTTAATGGCAGCGTCCTTGGTGCCACTCTCGCGGTTAATGGCAGCATCCTTGGCGCTGCGCCCGCGGCCAACGGCAGCGAGGAGCTGCAGATCAAGGGATTCTTTAATGTTCTACTGCTGTCGCCTCCAGTAAGTTTAATAATAACCTGTCATTTAATAAACGATGAAATAGTGAAAACTGAATAAATTCGAAGAACAAAATGTAGAGTCAAGGAGTGATCCTTGCTGTGTAGCAACGGCGTAAATTGAAAGCTATAGGCTAAATAATTGAAGTGATTAATTAAATGTTTCAGTACCCCAAATTCAAGTGGAGTAAAAAAGTGCAGGACACGGTGATATCGGCCTTCTTCTGGGGGTACATGGCGCTGCAGGTGCCGGGCGGCCACCTCTCGTACAAGTTCGGCTCGCGCTACTTGCTGTTCGGCGCTCTCATGAGCAACTGTGTGTTAGCCCTGATCTTCCCAATTGGTTCTTATTACGTGAGTATGACCACTTGTTCAATATTTATACCGAATTTAGTATCCTAATCTCTCTATCGTACCTTCGGAAATATAGAAATCGCTTTAGAGAATTTATTACCTAAGATTCAGAAGAAAAAGCACTTCGGTTTTAACTTTTTATTATTTTCTTCTTTCATTCTACGCGTTAATTCTCGTATACCCTGTCATTCCTGTCGTTGAAATAAAATTTACCATTTATGTGTAGGGAGGCTGGATATTCGCGCTAGTGTGCAGGATGGGGCAGGGCCTGAGCCAGGCCTGCATCCTGCCCAGCTTGCACACGATGCTCGGCAAGTGGTCGCCGCTGGAGGAAAGAGGGAGAATGAGTGCTATCATTTACGGAGGTACTTTTTATACAAATTGTTTGCTTTCTTGTGATGACACTGTTTTTTTTAAGTGGAAGAGTGTACTCGTATTGTAGTCTTTAGTGTAGTGTAGTAGTGGTGGATCAAGAAAGATCTTGGAAAATCAGATGATCCAGATTCAGTTTCAAAATCGGACTCGGACTCGTGACTTCTTTCAACATTATTCGCGATTTTCTTGTCTTTCAGGTCAAGCTCTGGGCACAGTGTTGGGGCTTCCTATAACCGGATTTATAGCGTCTTCACCAATATTAGGCTGGCCAGGGATTTTCCGGTTCTACGGCATTATGTCTGGAATCATCGCTGTCGTCGTGTGGTTTTTCCTAGCAGACTCTCCGGCGGTACATAAAACCATATCAGTGGCTGAAAGAAGGTACATTGAAGAATCGTTACGACAGAAATCTGATAACAAGGTATTAATCATTTCTTTACCATTCTGGAAAGTTTAAATCCAAATTTCTTTTGATATCACATTGCTCGGCTATGTTAACAAAATGATAAAGTCATTAGTGGGCACTATTGCTACGGGTAGGCAGCGCATCATAATAGGAATAATTTTATCTACTATGATACAAAATAGGCAGTGATTTTACATATACATTCGCTTTGATGTTGTTTTATTATACATAGTTTACCTGGGATCGGTTATCTGATATGAACTGGTAATTGGAAGATAACACGCGGAACTTGTTTTCTTAAAGCTTCCGCAGTGGAACGTGAAGATTCCCTTGAGTATTTGAATATCATGATAAAAGATAAAGTAACACATACGCACGAGATGATAATAATGACTGGAGAAATATTTGTGATGTAGTTACCTAATACCTTTTTTGGCGCCCGTTAACTTTGGAAATTTTCCAATTTACATACTTTGTATTTTATTTCATTTTACATTTGGTATTTTGCCTGCGTTGATCAAATTATAAAAATCAATTCCGGTTGAGGATTCCGGGTGAAGCTCGCTTCCACCTTCGGCCTGATCGTCACTTACCATCAGGTGAGATACAGGTCAAGAGCTTCCTCGTTGTGGATAAAAAAAAAAAAAAAAAAAAAAAAAAACATTTTCCCACACAAACTTTAGAGCTGATCAGATCATAAGAATGGAAAACAATTGAAATCTTCGGTGTTGGTTCCACACACAGCAAAAACATGTTGCACCAGAGCCAGCCTCCGCGCTCAGATCGGATAGGGTTTACTTTTCACACTGCGGGCGTTTCAGAAGCAACTGGCGGTCCCGTGGAGGAGCATCCTGAGCAGCCGCGCCATGCTGGCCATCGTGGTGGCGCACGTGGGCAGCACGTGGGGGCAGGTCATCCTGTACTCCGAGGTGCCGGCCTACATGGACCAGGTCATGGGGGTCAACATCAAAGCTGTGAGTTCAAACACAGAATAAGTTCGTACGCCAAATGACGTCCACAGGGGGACAAAAGCCTCCCCAAGGATTTACATAAAGACCGGTCCTTCGCTGCCCGCATTCAGGTTATTCCAAGGGCCTTTACACCGCTAGTCGGTCCACCTAGTGGGGTCCTAGTCGGACCTGCCCACGTTACGTCTTCCAGCCAGTGGTCGCCACTCGATAACTTTTTTGCCCCATCGGTCATCAGCTCTACCAGCTGCCATTTTAATTTAGCAATTCTGCGGGCTATTATGTCAGTCACTTTGATTTTACAGAATAAGTAGGTACTAGTGTTCATATAGTACATAGATAACACACTGTACTACCGTTTCTAGAGCCACCACCATGGCTGCCTACATTAGATACACATTAAACTTTCGCATTGCTATATCTCAGCATTGCGCTTGCTACTCTAAAATAACATGCAGTAATTTTAATAGTGCAAAAAAAAGTTGCATTATTATATTGCGCATCGTTTCTTTTTACTTTCAGAACGGTTTGCTGACAGCTTTGCCGTTCTTCGTGATGTTCTTCTTCAACTTCTTCTTTAGTTGGCTGAGTGACATGATGATCGTGAAGAAATATTTCAGTATTACTCACACGAGGAAGATTGCCAACTGTATAGGTACGAGTACCCACGACTAGTTGCTTTTATCTTAACATTCCCGTGCGAAAAAAGAATCTGCCTAAACTTAAGGATAGGACAAAAAGTAGTTTGCTTAAACTTTTATTCGTCTAGCACTTACTACATGGTTTGAAATAATACAAAATGTTCAGCTTACGTGCCAGCCGCCATCGGCTTCATCGCTCTGGCCTACGCGCCACAGAACATCTACGTGGTGGAGAGCATCCTGGTCATCATCTGCTGCTTCAAGGTGGCCAGTCACGTTGGGTTTCATGTAAGTTACAAAAATATTCCTGATCACAACTTAACATATATTAACTTTGATAGCTCTGGCAGGCCGATTAATGTGTTTTGTAACGTGCCAGGTGAACCACATCGACATTTCGCCCAACTTCGCTGGCGTGATGATGGGCATCAGCAACTTCAGCGCCAACGCCGTCAGCTCGTTCGCACCCATCATCGCGGGGCTTGTTCTGACGGACCCGGTAATTATTTTTTAACCAAATAAACTCTGTATTCCATAAAGGTATTATAAAGTTCCTATCAGAAACAATAGGCAGCCAAAAGCTACACAGAAAATGTCTGTAATGATCATCCCATCAAAAACATGAATGTGAAATGAAAGCCAAGTTCAGTATTATGTAAAACTAGCGGTCGCCCGCGACTTCGTACGCGTGGATCCCGTTTTACCCCCTTTAGGGGTGGAGTTTCGTAAAATCCTTTCTTAGCGGATGCCTATGTCATAACATCTACCTGCATCCCTTTCAGCCCGATCCGTCCAGTGGTTTGGGCTGTGCGTTGATAGATCACTATGTCATTCAGTCAATCAGTCAGCCAGTCAGTCAGTCACCTTTGAGTTATAATATATTTATAGATATGCCTTGGTTGTTGACTTCAAAGACAAAAGAAGTGAGAGCTAACCGAATACTATAATCCAGGCCTCTTCAAGGCTCGGAACCTACCTTGTTCTGCATAAAATAGATTGCATGTCGTAGAGTTAGAGACGATGATGCCATTTTGAAAGTTTTTATGACAACAAATATTTTTCAGACCGACAAGGATCTTTGGAAGATAGTATTCTTCATTGCGGCTGGGTTATACTTGTTCACGAACACCGTGTACCTTCTGCTGGGCACAGCAGAGCCGGCGGACTGGAACGAGCCTGCTGAGTACGCGCGCGTGGCCGCCGGCGACGACGCGCTCGAGAACGAAACCGGCAGTGTTATGGAAACTGGTGCAGTCAACAGTGGATATAAGGATGGAACTAGTGCATACGAAGATAGTGAAAATATAAAGATGCTGAAGATGTAGATAAGTTATGAGTAGAACTTGTGATAATTGAAGTTTAAAGTAAGTTAGTTAATTTCTTGGTTAAATTTACGAGTAAGTTCATTTCCATTTACATTGAAAAGCTGTGATGATTTTTTGTATTTGTGTGCCAACAGCGGGCGATGTTACAAAATAACTACGTACCTATTTACTTATGTAGAGAAACTGTTTTTAGTTAGGTATACTTACTTACATTTAATTTACTCTCACAAAAGTTTATAGAGCTAAGTTGTAACTTTTTATTTCTATCGTTGATTCATATTGATAAATCCAAACTCACTGTATATCATTGTAAGCATCAGCATATATAGCAGTCCAGAATAATATCAATATTATTAAAATGTAAAGTAACTATTTATTTTACATAGGTTCCTTTATCAATAACTAATTTTGATTTAATGCTGTTGAAACATTGTTAAACAAATAAAATAAAATAAAAATAAAATAAATTAATCCTCGCATCGCGTTAAAACCTGTTTAAATTAATGGAATTGTAGAGTCGACTAATTTTATTATAACTAAAAAAAAATACAACCGACTTCAAATGCGTGAACACAAAAAAAAACTAACCCTTGGGGGTGAAATATTTTCTTCAAATTCGCATGAAACCACCCTTTTGATAATACCTATTCAACAAAAAAATAATCGTTCAAATTGATTTATAATCGGCTGAGATATTGCGTATAAAAAAGTTCATCCCCAATTTTCCACCCTTGGGGTTGTTTTTTCTATTATTAAATTTAAATGGGACCACCCTTGAGGTATTACCTATACGCCGAAAAAAGATTTGTTCAAATCGGTTCATAATTGGCGGAGTTATCGCGTAACAAACATAGAAAAAAAAAACATACGGGTCGAATTGAGAACCTCCTCCTTTTTTGAAGTCGGTTGAAAATCAATTTGATTTATTGTCTTTTAGTAAATGCAAATACCTATAACTATTGTAACTAAATCCAGGATAAGTGAATATTTTCGGACGCGGCTTAACAAAGTGCGTGGTGCAGGATTTCCTTCGAGCGAGCTCGACCTCGTGCTGCAGCTCACGTGACGCGGAATGCTTCGCAGACAGAGTTCGTAGCACGCCTTTCTACGATTGTAACGCCTAATTCGTAGTCACGTTTGTGTGCACAATGCTTTAGAACCCATCTAGAAGCGTTGGGAAATCGTCCGTCACACGTTAAAGAATGTGAAAAGGACTTGCTTCTCATGACTTTAAGACCGTACACTCGTAATAACATTTCCAAGATTTACTTTGTAAAAGCCAAAACTACATCAAGTTAACAAATAAAGATTGAATTTCAAATAAAAATATTTATCCATTCGCTTCTAGGGCACATTTACAGCAATGGCATTGGCCAGGGGGTGTCGAAACTTGTATAATTGTTGAATGTTTTGCATCAGCTGCCCGGGCAATGTCGGGCTCACGTTGTTCTCCGTGTGTTTAGCTCACGTACACGGGTACACCCCTTTGTTTCGGCAGCCTCACCCTAATCAGATTTATTCTTGGCTCCTTTGTTTTGATATTATACTTATTTATAGAACGCGGTTTACGAAATGCTTTATATTTGTTTCCTTCTCAAATATTTTGTATTTGGTGCACATAGACGTCAGAAAGTGCAGCAGAAGATGCGATGTGAACACCGTCGAGCTACTACATTTTTCGGGAAGTACCTACATATTTAGAAAGGTAATTTAATCAGCTGAACTCAGTAGGTAGTTTTTTTAGTATTCAATGTCCATTTTTTGTCGGCCGTTTGGTGTAGTGGTTCAGAACGGACTACTATTCCGAGAGGTCCCGGGTTCGATTCCCGGCCGGGCAGAAATTGAAATGATGAATTTTAATTTCTGTGACGGGTCTGGGTGTTTTCTATGTATAATATGTATGTGTTACAGGAAATGTATGAAATCTAGGAATTGTATACTATTCCTAGGAAATGTATACAATTCCAAAGCTATTTAGGAAATGTATAAAATATTGCTTCAGAGATTTTTTAATACGCACATATCCTAGGAAATGTAAAANACTTCTTGGCAATGTAGACATGATATTAAAATATATGCATTTATAAAAATGTACCGAGAACACTACAAACTGTGCAACCAAAGTACCGATTAAAGCTAAATTTTAAAACTGAGGGTAGATCCAAAACTACACGTAGGAAAAAAAAAAGAAAAATATTTTTATTACTACTAATACCCACCTACTAATAAACTATCAACAGAATCTCGGCACCATTTTCATTTTGATTTTTTGTTGACCAGTGTTATTGTTTAGCCTGACAGTTGTTTTCGCACTATTATACTTCGGGCGAAAAAAATATTTGCCTAAATTGGCATACCTTTCTTTCGGCATCACGCATATTAGGTACGCTGAAGTATTGGAAATTCCTAACTTTAACATCTCTTTTATTAAACTATTATTGGCATAATTTTAGTACTCCTGTAGCTGGATAACAAAAGTCTCGGTTAGGTTAGGTTAGGTTAGACTTGCGACCTTACATATACACAGCTGCCGCCGAGCGCTATTTAAGTTTCGGAGAAAAAAAAAGTGGCGTAATAAAAATAAATTTGTGTAAAAAATTTAGGCTTAAAATTTGTGTGTCATAGACAATTAGGCGTACAAATAATTTGGCGATTCGATAGAGACCCCGCGTAATCGGATGATGCTATACCCTCCCCTTGCACCGCATGTCCACGCGTATTCATTGAAATCTTATATTACATTTCCGATTGCTGTTTAGGAAATGTGTAAATTTCCTAGGAAATGTGCCGAATATAATTTACATCACACATTTCCGGGTGATTTTAGGAATTATACACAATTCCTAGGAATTGTATACAATGACGGATTTCATACATTTCCTGTAACATGTGTATTAAAAAAAGAAAGTATTTAAGTATGTTTATACCCGTTGTCTAGTACCCATAGTACAAGCTTTGCTTAGTTTGGGACTAGCGGCGCAGTGTAAAAATGTCCAAGGATATTTTATTAAAAAAATAATAATTCTAGACTAAGCAGGTAGGTACTGAGTCTAGTAGAGAGCTGAAATTTTTACTTGCACGCATGTATCTACATGTATGTTAACAAGATTTTTCTGTTCGGAAAATTTGTTCCGCGTCCGCGTGCCCTTGCACGAATATCTATTGGTGTGGTGAGTACGTCTACGAATGTTATTATTACTTATGGCACGTGATGATATTATGACTGTAGATTAAAGAATTAGAAAACAAGATTATCTGCACTAATATTATAAAGAGGAAATATTTGATTGTTTGTTTGTATCGAATAGGCTCCGAAAAGTGAAAACTACTGGACTAAAATTTCTGTTGTAGTACTTACATACATAGGCGCTCTACGATGTTTGCTGTGTCCGCTAGTTACTATTATTCATTTATTTAATTAATCTTTTAAATAGAATTTAAATAAGATTTTTTTACAAATACATTTTTAAAGAAAGTAAGATAAAACATACTAACTTAACGTTCTACTTTTGTCCTTAAATACTTAAGTAATTAGGTATGATAACTTTCTAGAATGACGACGAAAAGAGTGCTCTACAATAATATGGTTTGTCAAAAAACAGCATTAGGCTAGCTACGGCTATTAAATGAGTAACTTTGAAATATTTAGATAAGTGCAAAAATAATACTTTAAAAGAAATTAAATCAAAATAGACGAAGGTATGACCAGATAAAAGGAATCCTGTAGTTATCTGGAAAGAACTATCTGAACTCTGGAAATGAAAGATAGATACTTAGTATAATGACGCACAAGGGAAGTGGGTAAACAAAAAATAAGTTCTGTGTTAATAAAGATTACCGTTTATAAGGCACTTATGTTTACTGAATAATGCACGTGTTGATATGCACATTCAAAGTGTCGTAGAGTAGCATGTAACAATGTAGAGGCAACATAAGTTGTAGGCCGCGCGGCCATCATGGTAGATCTGAACTTGGTACTTGGCCTTGCCTGCGAAGGTCGGGGGGAGACACCCTGGGGGATTAATAACTGGCCTACGCGCGGCCGCGGCGCAAGCCACGGGAGATAGGCTTGTTCTTATTCGGACACTGAACGGATCGCTCCGAACTAGTACAATCGGCCTTATGAACTAAAAGAAAAAAAGTCTTTATTCCTTTGTATTTATGGTCCAATATCGAAAAATACTCGCAACACAGTTACAGAGCCGTGTACCCATCTAACTCGCGCTCACGTGTCACTAATCTCACGTCTCATTCTAGCACTATTAGTTCATACTCGTACCTAGTTATTTTTAATGTATAATTTTCAAACTATTAGTTCATTTTAGTACACCGATTTTTTTAATCAGATCGGACGAAAAACGTCTTTATTACTATCACCTTTAATAGTACAATGTCGCAAAATACTCGCAACACACTCACAGAGCCGAATCCATCTCGCTCGCGCGCGCTTGCCACCAATTTCACGTCTCGATCACACCTATTCAATCGTGATCGGCTGTACTAAAGTGAACTAAAAGACCGATTTGAACGACCAAGACGGAATAGTTCGTTCTAGTTCACATAAAGGAATTGCTTCCTATTAATACATAGTACATGTACTACACAAGCCTAACGGGAGAGCCCGGGTGGCGAGCGCGTGCTACAGACACCAGCACAATGTTATCGCGATAACGACCGGTCATTAACCAAAACAATGTAGGTATTTGCTGTCTAATTTAAAATTGATTGGTGTTAGTACTTTTTATATAGTATTTAATCACTTGGTTAGTTTTAATTTTAATTAGTCTATTAATTATTGCACGTGATGCGTGGCCGTTTCTTAATTATCAGTATTGAATATTATGTATCCTTTTAATGGTTCCCTACCATGAACTCTTGAGACCGCTTGTGAAAGGATTCCTCTATCTATGAATTGACGCCTACACAGGCGAAAATGTAGAGTCACGGGGAACGCGATTGGACTCCCACAGTTTTGGTCACGAAAGAAGAAGACTTAAGACTAATTATCCCGTCTCTCTGCCCGCAGCTGTCAGAGATATTAATTGATTAAATCAGTCAATAAAGTTGTTGTCAATTAAGGGGCTTCCTTTACTTATCTACCAACTGGATGGTTTTAAGGGGCAAATGTTCGGAGCGCGAAGAGCAGGGCACTATCTCACTAACTCAAGCAGACAGCAAGCAGGCTGGCCTCGCGATGGAGCGCCACGCCAGCTTCCCGCCAGGCGCTGGCAACTTGCGCCGCGCCGCTAATCCGCTGCCCTCCAGGAAGCGAGTATCAATGTCAGGAGCGGTCCCTTACCGGCCGAGTTAATGATTACAACATACATAATATCTGCGGTACTCGTTGCTCTGTTCGTGAAAAGGATTCTGTTGGTCTGTCATTAGTTTTAATACAAAATAATATATTTTGGACCTGATGCGTAAATGCTGGAATGCCCCAAACACCGTTTTCGGTGCTGGTAAAATTTCTAGCTTCTTGCACTTAGAAATTGACATGATTTTTTGCTACCAGCCTATGTACGTACATGATATATCTACCTACCTAGGATAATCTAATTTCTGATTAAAATTAGCCGATTTAGGCTTAATGATTACGTTATCTCGTTTTCAATTCGTCTCTACTCGAAAATAAAACCTGGCGATCTGCCATAGGTTTCACACACAATTTTTACCATCGTCGGAGAAAGTCACCGTTATTTTCATACTTGAAAAGTCTATATAATATTTTTTCATCGTGCACGTGGGTTGTACGCTCGACGAAGGTCACGCGTGCCCGGGGGGCGCCCCATCCCTGCCAACCCCCGCAGTCGCAGACTAGTCGCTTCTCCGCCATTCCACCAGAACCTATCCATCATTGCAAACGCAAACGCGAATCTGCTAACGATAAATTGAAGTGGAATTTCATAGTGAGTACCTTTGTCTTGGTTGACAGAATTCAAAATTAACATTTTGTATTGGGTATAACCGTTCCGTTTTCGAAAAAAATATTTACGCGCGCAAATGTTAGTCATTTGTTTATGTTTTATTTTTGTTGTCAAATTAGTTAACGATGTATTGTGTTTTCGGAGTATGTGTACATATGAATTGGTCTTTAATGTTTATGTTTTAAGTGTTTCTAGCAGTTTCTCGTGTTGATTAGCCTCAATTGAACAGTTCAGCTTAGCCGCGTAACGAGATTAGCACGACTTTGGGGTGAAACAGTCAGTGTCTTCAAGAAATCGTTTGTTATGGTCTTTGACTCCTAGAAAATAATACACGAGTACACGGTTTGAGCATTTTCTTAAGTAAAGTTTAAATGCGGCTCGAAATTCGGCTTAAAAAAAGGTAAGCTATTGAATTTATCCTTTCTTTAATTTCAAAATAATGAACAAAACACTGTAAGCATTAATATCAGACCTCTTCTGTTTCGATTTAAAATACTGGCTGGGTAAAATTACGAGTAGAAAAGAAAAAATATTTTGCTTTCGCGCCAATAACCTTTGCTTGATCTTGTGCGATTTTTGCGAAACGGGGATTTGAACGGACAACGGTGATAGGGCCCGACTTGAGCGATACTCGAACAGGCGTGTTTTAGCGATGGCCGCCGCCGACAAGCTGTACCCCAACTGCGACGCCAGCGTGTGGCTGCGCTCCTGCGAGCAGGAGGTCACCGAGCCTCTCGACGGAGAAATAACAGGTTAGTATCCTTCACTTCATTTCTTAATCTCTATGCTAAATACCCTCATATCGACTTGTTTAGCGTAACAGTAGATTAATTTAATTTTCATTAGTACATAGTTTAAAATTGAACATTGTAGAGCGCATCAACCGTGCCCGTAGTGCACTATAAATCGCTTTACAATGTGATTGCTTCAAGATCAGCACAATTACTGATTCGAAAAATGTGAACACCCGAAGTAATGATTAGATTCTTCGGAGCGCACATTAAAAGCCTAGGCGCAGACCACTGGACTTTGTTGGCCGATAGTTGGGTCAGGCTGATAAATCAGTACCTACGAATATGAAAATGCGCACATTACGCTGATTTGGTATCGGCCGATTCATCATAAAAATTAGAATCGGGCCCAACTATCGGCCAACTAAAAGACGGTGGTCTGCGCCTAGGCTAAGTTATTCGGACTTTAAAATTGACGGGTACGGCTTTAAAGTTGCCCATTGGCATTGAGTCCTTCCTACTTTCCAGGCGAGCTACCGGAATGGCTGCGCGGGACCTTGCTGCGCAACGGGCCGGGCTCGCTGAAGGTCGGCGACATGCGCTTCAAGCACCTCTTCGACAGCTCCGCGCTGCTGCACCGGTGAGTTAGATCGTGCCATCCACGAAGACACGCCCCACCATTCTACCGCTAATGATTGAGTGTTATAGGTACACACTAAATTTTATCCATGAGTAGCACATGCACACTACAATAATGACGCCCCGCGCTTCCCTCGACCAAAAATTGGTGGGGCGCGTCTTCGTGGATGGCACGGTCTCAGAAGCAGCTAGCGAAGTGCTCAATGCTCACACAAACGTCATCCATTAAACTCTTAAAAATCAATCTTTCAGGAATTATTATTTTCTAAAATATTGTTTTTTGAGCATTCTCCTTATTCAAAGGCAATGTAGAAGTTATTCAACGAGGATTATGCACCCAGCAGCCTCTCGGATACGCATTTCTTTCAGAATTTTAAGTAGTAAATCATTGCAAAAGTTGCCAGTAGACAATACTTTTGATTAGAAGGTATACTCGTACGTAAAAAAAATATCTTGACTTTCACATCAAAATAGTAGAGTACGTACGCACGTATAATTACCACCTATCATAATTACCTATCATTAGAGATACCATAGAGTAATACTTAAACCTTTATACTTAAGCTTACGGTAAGGTTATCATGGTCATTAAGAAGGAAGCCCCATTAAACAATCAAGAATCCTACCTAATGAATGAATGAGCCGTTACATCCAAACAATGCATTGCGCATCCATGCACGCTAATGAGTGAAGTGCGTAAGCGGCGCGCGGGAATAGACCACGATCATCGCAGATTGGGGCAAATTACGAACTAATCGATCCGCGGTCCAGTTTACCTGGTCGCGTCCTCATTCAGAGATATGATGATGATAGCGGAGATGCGTTCTCGAATTGATTAGGCCCACAGCAGACATTTATAGCATCGGCGATCGGTGATTTTGTGACTATATCGATGCTAAATCACGTTCTGGCGACTCTGCCGAGTATCGGATCTACTATCGGAGTCGCGTGATTAATATCAGAAACAAGATTAAAATGTCATTCGGAATCATTTAATCCATGTAAGATCTCTTGGTGGATTCATATAGAGCTATCTTTTTGCATCGTAGGTTCGCGATCCATGAGGGAAGCGTGACGTACCAGTGCCGCTTCCTGCAGTCCAGCACATACAAGCGCAACCAGGCGGCGCAGCGCATCGTGGTCAGCGAGTTCGGCACCAAGGCCGTGCCCGACCCCTGCCATACCATATTCGACAGGTAAATATGAAGCCTTTGGGCTTGGGAAGTAAGGGCTTCAAACGCCTAGGGCACTCTACATTCACTATGTGAAAATGATAGCAGTTGCCGGTCACTTAATTTAGTAGATATCTATTCAAAATCTATTTAAAATAGCACACCATTCTATTAAAGTTTGTTTCTAAATAGAACAAACGAGTACACAACATCATTGTCTTTTCTTTTCAATTAGTTTTTGTTAACTTAAATAATTAAAAAGAAACTTGTTTTTGAATCAAGTGTCAGTCATAAAATTTTCCATTAGATGTTCTAAGTGAGCATAGTAATAGACAATGGGAAATTTCGCCTTATTGTTAAAGTATTTTTCCAGTCTACCTCTTACACTAAATATTATTATTGATTGCACTATACTGACTACCATCTTGACATGTGTACCTAATGAATATGAATATGAATTTATGAATAAATTCATATTCTAATTCTATATTAATATGTATTTTTGTAGAGTCGCGTCGGTGTTCAAGCCGGACGAGACGATCTCCGACAACGCTATGATATCGCTGTACCCTTTCGGCGATGAGATATACGCTTTCACGGAGGGACCGGTCATTCACAGGTTAGTTGCATATTATCGGACATTATTAAAATTTATATTATTCTCAATAGGTAGAGTTACACAGGATTATAATAAATGGTTCTTTTGCTTGTCTCAAGAACAAACAAAAGACGAAAATCATGTTATCACAAGTATGAATCAAGACTCATTTACTATGTTTCACTGACCTGGTACTCCTCAACCTGCACCAATCCGCACCATTGGCTCTGCATACAGGTGGTCGGTGGGTACGCCCTGCAATAGGACAGAAAGGCAGACGTTAGATTAACTTAATTTTATTTGCAGGATAGACCCAGTGACCCTGGACACGATGGAGCGCAAAAACATGATGGACTCCGTAGCGTTGGTGAACCACACCTCCCACCCGCATGTTATGTCCAACGGTGAGGCCTTTTCGATTCATTGCACATTTAATATCATCCTATCTCTTATGGATCCAACTGCGGGATCTTAAAGAACCTAGCTTCGCCTAGGCGCAGACCATCGATTTTTCGTCGGCCGATAGTTTAGTCGGGCATGTGGTATGGGCATGTAAGGAAGTGCGCACATTACATCGATTGATTCTTCATACAAATTAGAATCGGTCGACTAAAACTCGGTGTTCTGCGCCTAGGCTTGGCTTGATTTAGTTTAAGAACAAGTAACTTATTGTAACGATGTGTTGTGTTGTGGACTTGTGGTCTGAGGTTTCCTATACCGCCTCGTATAATGTTCAAGGTGACGTGTACAACGTGGGCATGTCGGTGGTGAAGGGCCGCGTCAAGCACGTCGTGGTCAAGTTCCCGTTTACAGAGAAGGGTACGTAAACAATTCAAAACATTTCATTTAAATAATCATATTAAGATGATTATCTTCTACTACATATATAGGCTCCTTAAGAGCATTTGACGATTTGCAAGTACTAATTTAATTAGTCTAAACAAATAAAGATAATTTTGATTTTGATTTTACTACAAGATTTGTCACTGAACCAACTGTGACGCTAAATTTTCAGCTATTTTGCAGCGATGATGCAAGTCAGATTTTTTTTGCACAAACACTAAAAGTCGTAACTCGTAATACGTAAAATGTCGTTCTTGCAGATTATTTCATAATTATTATCATTTATAATGTTAATTACGGTTACACGTGCAGCTTAGGTATCTACCTACTTTAATACGACAGTTATTTTCATGAAAATTAATAAATATTGTTCAATTTAAGGTGACTGAAACAGTCTGCTGTTACAGTTTTACTTTTAGCTGTAGTTCTCATTTGATGTGTGGTGCGTCCGCAGGCGACATGTTCGCGCGCGCGCGCGTGGTGGGCAGCCTGCGCCCGCGCTGGCCGCTGCATCCCGCCTACATGCACACCTTCGGTGAGCACGCACCAATAACACTATTTACTCTAAATTGCTTGTAAGAGTAGGTGCACACCGTTGAATTTTTAGTTCGATAGTTGTGCCCGATTTTAATTTGTATGAAGAATCGGCCAAATCGAATCGGCGTAGTGTGCGCACTCCCATACATGCCCATACTGATCAACTGCCCGACTAAACTATCGACTGACGAAAAATCAACGGTGTGCGCCTACTCTAAAGGAGCGCTGATTTAAATGTCATACGCACAATCAACCAATTTAAATCTCGCTTGACCCTCTCATTCAATAATTTTATTGAAATTGTCAATGTTTTTCTCCTTACTAAAATAAGAAATCGCATTTGTTTAATCTTTCTAGGTACTTGTGTTAAGAGGCAGTAGATAAATAAAATACTGAATGAATTACTGACACTGCATGTTTAATTAACAAGCTACTTTCAAGATGCCAAAACAACATGGCCGTCTTTTTCAGTACCATAGACAACAATCAGATACCAGAATTCCAAAGATGATACAACAGTGGGTACTTAAATAATCTATGTATTATCTTAGAACGTAAAGAAAATCAACAAAACATTCCCATCAGATAGAGAATTTGACGCTTGCCTAGCTTAGCCTTTGTAATTATTTTTATAATTTGATATTATTTTCTTGTAGAGAGGACTCTAACCATGCGCTTATATAGCGGGGGGGCTGGGGTGACGCGGCCCCCGATTTGAAGATGATAGTTGATAGTACTAAGACAGTAATCGTCAGGGACCTAGGCCCCCCTAAAAATACGCCAATGACTCTAACAGATTCCCTTAAACCTATCTACTGTTGTGCGGCAGGCATCACGGAGAAGTACTTCGTGATCGTGGAGCAGCCGCTGGCGGTGTCGTTGTACGGTGCTCTACGCTCCCAGGTGGCCGGCGCGCCGCTCGCCGACAGCCTGCACTGGTACCCCGACCAGGACGTGAGTACCCCCGACCAGGCCCCAGTCTAAGCCTCGCTTGGGCCGTCTGATCTTCTTGTTGTCCAGTGCTTGGAGACTCGGATGAACGAGGATGTCTCAATTAGATTTTCAGTTCAATATCAATCGATTCCATCTTTTAGAGCAAGGCTGCTCAACCACAGGCTCGTCGCCCACGGTGTGGCCCGCGCAAGTATGGTTTGATCTTAATAATTGAGTTTTTATTGCGCCTGAGAGTAACTGAAATAGGAAATGCAAGTGGCCCGTCGTTAACGATGAATCTACCGAATTGGCCCGACTNGAATCGGGCCCACTATCGGCCGACTAAAAATCGGTGGCTTGATTTAGTTTAAATTAAACAAGTATCTTATTGTAACGATGTGTCGTGTTGTGGTCTGCGGTTTCCTATTATCGCGTCGTATAATGTTCAAGGTGACGTGTACAACGTGGGCATGTCGGTGGTGAAGGGCCGCGTTAAGCACGTTGTGGTCAAGTTCCCGTTTACAGAGAAGGGTACGTAAACAATTCAAAACATTTTATAAGAATAAGAATAAGAAAAACTTTATTTGACACAAAAAAAAACAGAAAACCAGAACAAAGGGACTTAAAACTATACACGCATAATATTTTGTGCCAAAAAGGCGCCCGCTCAGCATTAATCGAGCCACGCGTGCATGCACGCGTGCCCCGACGCTGGTTTTCAGCGGGTTTTCATTTAAATAATCATATTAAGATGATTATCTACTACATGTATGATGTATGTATAGGCTCCTTAAGAGCATTTGACGATTTGCAAATACTAATTTAATTAGTCTAAACAAATACCTAAAGATAATTTTGATTTTGATTTTACTACAAGATTTGTCACTGAGCTAACTGTGACGCTACATTTTCAGCTATTTTGCAGCGATGATGCAAGTTAGATTTTTTTTGCACAAACACTAAAAGTTCAAACTCATTAAGTATACGTAAAATGTCGTTCGTGCAGATTATTTGTAATTATTTATCATTTCAAATGTTAATTACGGTTACACGTGTAGCTTAGGTACCTACTTCTTTAATACGACAGTTATATTCATGAAAACTAAACTAAAACTCATTTATTTCTGTAAATAGGCTTAAAAAAGCACTTTTACACGTCCCAGTATTAACCCTACCACTGCTTCAGGATAATAAATGGGCCAGTGCTGAGAAGAAGCAGCGCAAGAAACTCCGTCACTATTGTCAGCCTCTTTTTCAAAGGTTTACATGCTTTAAAATGTACTAAGTTATAAATATATTTATGCGAGCTAGGCAGTAACGTATCCCAAACATTTCTATCTTTTAAATAATCATCGACTCTATAGATATTGTTTAATATAAGGTAAATGAAACAGTCTGCTGTTACATTTACCTAATTCATCATTCTGCTAATCTTAGGATTAGTATTTTAGCTGTAGTTCTCATTTGATGTGTGGTGTGTCCGCAGGCGACATGTTCGCGCGCGCGCGCGTGGTGGGCAGCCTGCGCCCGCGCTGGCCGCTGCATCCCGCCTACATGCACACCTTCGGTGAGCACGCACCAATAACGCTATTATTATTTATAATTATAATATAATATGACACGCACAATCAACCAATTTAAATCTCGCTTGACCCTCTCACACAATAATTTTATTAAAATTGACAATGTTTTTCTCTTTAATAAAATAAGAAATTGCATTTGTTTAATCTTTCTAGGTACTTGTGTTAAGAGGCAGTAGATAAATAAAATACTGAATGAATTACTGACACTGCATGTTTAATTAACAAGCTCCTCTCAAGATGCCAAAACAACATGGCCGTCTTTTTCAGTACCATAGACAACAATCATATACCATTAAAGAAATCCAAAGATGATACAACAGTGGGTACTTAAATAATCTATTTATCTTAGAACGTAAAGAAAATTAACAGAAAATTCCCATCCGATAGAGAATTTGACGCTTGCCTAGCTTAGCCTTTGTAATTATTTTCATAAATTGAAATTATTTTCTGGTAAAAGCACAGTAGAGAGGACTCTAACCATGCGCGTATATAGCGGGGGGGCTGGGGTGACACGGCCCGCGATTTGAAGATGATAGTTGATAGTACGAAGACAGTAATCATCAGGGACCTAGGCCCCCCTAAAAATACGCCAATGACTCTAACAGATTCCCTTAAACCTATCTACTGTTGCGCGGCAGGCATCACGGAGAAGTACTTCGTGATCGTGGAGCAGCCGCTGGCGGTGTCGCTGTACGGTGCTCTACGCTCCCAGGTGGCCGGCGCGCCGCTCGCCGACAGCCTCCACTGGTACCCCGACCAGGACGTGAGTACCCCCGACCAGGCCCAGTCTAAGCCTCGCTTGGACCGTCTGATCTTCTTGTTGTCCAGTGCTTGGAGACTCGGATGAACGAGGATGTCTCAATTAGATTTTCAGTTCAATACCAATCGATTCCATCTTTTAGAATTTAGAGCAAGGCTGCTCAACCACAGGCCCGTCGGCGTCGCCCACAGTGTGGCCCGCGCAGTATGGTTTGATCTTAATAATTGAGTTTTTATTGCGCTTGTCCTGAGAGTAACTGAAATAGGAAATGCAAGTGGCCCGTCGTTAACGAATGAATCTACCGAATTGGATGAATTGAAGAGTCGGACTCTTCAAAAGGTTGAGCAGCCTTGTTTTAGCGGTTCGGCTTCGGCTCCAGGTTACGACGATGGAAGCATCTTGACAGTTGACTGTTTAACGTACTCTAGTGAGTTGTCTTTGGCCTGTAAGGTTCTGATCTTGTTCCTTTGCAAATTATGGAGTAATTTCGCTGGTGCTTTCAGACGCACATCGTGCTGATCAGCCGCAGCACGGGCAAGGAGGAGCGGCGCTACTGCACGGAGCCGCTGTTCTTCCTGCACATCATCAACGCCTTCGAGCGCGACGGCACGCTCGTGCTGGACCTCTGCGCCTACAAGGACGCCAAGGCCATCGACGCCATGTACGTCCAGGCTATCGAGGTGAGGCACTATTCTACAGGACACGCGATGAAATAGTCTAAAGATCAATTGCTGGAATGGCTATTCCATGTGAAGTCGAGAATATTCGTCGTCACTCAATTGGATTTATAACTAGTTATCAGCACCTTAATGTGCTCTACCATTATAACATTATTCTCCCATTTTGTTGGACTGGTGACTGGTTAACAGAATGTACCTTATATGCTCTACCAAGATAGCACTTAGTACGTATTCACAAATAATTTAGGTGCCTACACGTGTTTTCAGTTAAATTTAGATTCACTGTGACGTGTTCTTATTGTATTTAAACATAGGCACAAATAGAGTGAATCTAAATATAGTTAATTAAAAACACGTACTACCTCGTTCGTTCGTTCGTTTCAGCCAAATGACATCCACTGCTGGACAAAGGCCTCCTCACGTACTACCTAAATAAAATTATTTATGAATACTGATGTAGGTAACCCTTATGTACCACATTGGCGTATTTAGGGTTCTTTTTCAGGGGCACCTGGCCCCTGATATGCGATTAGTATCATAGCTCATGAGTTTAGCACTATCATCTTCAAACCGGTCCCACGCTATATATGTACACGCGCATGACGCACCACGTCACCAAATGTCAACAATTATTGCGCCTGAGAGTAACTGAAATAGGAAATGCAAGTGGCCCGTCGTTAACGATGAATCTACCGAATTGGCCCGACTCTTCAAAAGGTTGAGCAGCCTTGTTTTAACGGTTCGGCTTCGGCTCCAGGTTACGACGATGGAAGCATCTTGACAGTTGACTGTTTAACGTACTCTAGTGAGTTGTCTTTGGGCTGTAAGGTTCTGATCTTGTTCCTTTGCAAATTATGGAGTAATTTTGTTGGTGCTTTCAGACGCACATCGTGCTGATCAGCCGCAGCACGGGCAAGGAGGAGCGGCGCTACTGCACGGAGCCGCTGTTCTTCCTGCACATCATCAACGCCTTCGAGCGCGACGGCACGCTCGTGCTGGACCTCTGCGCCTATAAGGACGCCAAGGCCATCGACGCCATGTACGTCCAGGCTATCGAGGTGAGGCACTGTTCTACAGGACACGCTGTGGTGGACTGCAGTGGACTGTATGCGTTTGTGTGTGTTCGAGAGCGCTGACCGGACGATGATGACTGCCGTTGAGAGCTTGCCCTTACTATGTCAGGCGTAGTAGGTGCTACTTGCAGGAATAAAACCACTATTTCACTTGCTGAGACTTCTCGCGTTTATTATTCGCTTCCTTTTCTCAGTTCTTGCTTCTTCAGATCACTTGTTGCTTGGAGCACTTGTTCTCTGAACTGAACATAACAATACAACTTCAAATAAACTTAACTCCCGGAGCGCCTCGCTCCGTATTTATAGGGCCCCGGGCTATATCCATCCCTTTCTCTCCCGATATTCCTGTCTCTGTCTCTCATGTTCTGGAACATAGTTCTGGAATGTTCGTAGCGAGAGGTCCGATGTTGCCGTCCCGTTTCTTTTTCTCTCGAATATTCCAGAAGTGTGTGGAAGAGTAATTGATGTGCAAGCGAGATGACAGATAATGTGAGAAAGAGATGGAATGTAATTTATCTCTAATCGACTCTAATTGATTATTTTAGTACATTTTCTGATTGTTAACGTTGCTAATCAATAAATTAGCGTATTTTCTCGGATGACGTCGCTAACACACGCGATGAAGTAGTCTAAAGATCAATTGCTGGAATGGCTATTCCATGTGAAGTCGAGAATATTCGTCATCACTCAGTTGGATTTATAACTATAGTTATCAGCACCTTAATATGCTCTACCATTATAACATTATTCTCCCATTTTGTTGGATTGGTGACTGGTTAACAGAATGTACCTTATATGCTCTACCAAGATAGCACTTAGTACGTATTTACAAATAATTTAGGTGCCTACACGTGTTTTCAGTTAAATTTAGTGTGACGTGTTCTTATTGTATTAAAACATAGGCACAAATCGAATTAATCTAAATAGGTATAGTTAACTAAAAAACACATGTAAATAAAATTATTTGTTTATACTGATGTAACCCATATGTACCATATTGGCGTATTTAGGGTTCTCTTTCAGGGGCACCTGGCTCCTGATATGCGATTAGTATCATAGCTCATGAGTTTAGTACTAATATCTTCAAACCGGTCCCCCGCTATATGTACACGCGTATGACGCACCACGTCACCAAATGTCAACAATTGTCCGTCAGAACATGCAGAGCAACGCGGACTACGCGGAGTGGTTCCGCGGGCGGCCCCAGCGGCTGGAGCTGCCTCTGGACGCGACGACGCCGGCGCGGGTGGCCGCCCGCCCGCTGGCCGCGCTCGGCTGCGAGACGCCGCGCATACACTACGACGCCTTCAACGGTATTACACTAACGCATACACTACGACGCCTTCAACGGTATTACACTAACGCATACACTACGACGCCTTCAACGGTATTACACTAACAGTCATATTCACAAACGATGCTTGCTTAAAGCAGCAAATCGAAATCGAAGAATAGAGCTTTGTGATTGGTTCGTGTGTCACCCTGTGCGTCAATACGCACTGTGAGACCTCATAGTAATGTTTGTGAATACGGGCGTAACCCATCAACCAATTACTTTTCATTCTCATCTTCATTCCCCTCACCGTGGCATTCAGTGGGAATGGAACTTTCCCTGCCAGAATCTTGTCCTTAGAGAGCCAACAACTTTTTACATACTGACATCAATAGGCCTCCTTTTCTTGATTCTGGGAGTTTCAGTCTGAGTTATGTTAGTCGATATAGAACTTTTTGGGTATCTACACACAGAAGAGAATTGCGTATTTTTTTCTTTGTTGATTCATAACAATCTGTATGTTACTGGATCCCATTGTATTACCAGGGCCATGAGCTGATTATGAAAAATACTGTTATTTTTTCCACAGGTCGTCCGTATCGCTATTTTTATGCCATCAGTTCAGATGTTGATGCGGAATATCCTGGTGCGGTAAGTTGCCCACTGTCATATAAACCCTACGAATATGGTTAGTTTTTATCACCCCTGGTTCACATCTGATCTGACCCAAGATCTTTACGCGATGGTAGTCATGGTAGCAATGGCTGATAATAACAGTTTTTTCTATAATCCCCTTGGATCCTTTGAGTACTGTCCGCCAAGTGTAGCCAGTGACGGGCTTTTGTCGTCCCAGGTGATCAAGGTGGACACGTGGACGGGCGCCACGCTGACGTGGAGCAGCGCCGACTGCTACCCCAGCGAGCCCGTGTTCGTGCCCGCGCCCGACGCCAAGGTAGGTTTAATGTACCTATAGTTGCATAGAGTTTTTATCAAATTCAACGTCAGCTAGGTAAATTAAATTACCTATAGTGCGTAGGATACAGTGCTTTAAAGTAATAGGGACATTAACTTCAACAAAATTGTGGTGGCATTATACAGTTACTTGTAAGGTCACAAACCATGTCGTTAGATTACGTAGGTAGGTTGATTGTGTCCGGCTGTAGTTTAGTTTAAGGGATGCTATGCCTTAAAGGATTTTCATTAATGAAACATTGTTTTCTATTTGACGCAGAACTAAACTCGCGAGAGTCATAGCTGCTACTTTTCCTGCCATATTCTGCATTAGCTTTCATATTGAACGAGTTTATTACGAGTATGAGGAAAGTAATAAAATAAATGACATGTTATGTGCAGAGCGAGGACGACGGCGTGCTGCTGAGCGCGCTGGTGTACGGGCGCGACGCGCGGCGCGTGGCGCTGCTGGTGCTGTGCGCGCGCTCGCTGCGGCGCCGCGCGCTCGCCGCCTTCCGCACGCCCTCGCCCGCGCCCAAGTGCCTGCACGGCTGGTTCCTGCGCGTGAAATCAAATAGACCGGTTCTCGAAAACAGCGGCGCGGCAGCGGCGCCGGAGCGGGCAACGAGCGGGCAGCGGCGAAGGAGCGGGTAACGAGCGGGCAGCGCACTCCTTCTTTTGCCCACAATAAATCGAGCGTTAGGAATAAATTTGAATCGAAATAAAATTGTCGCCGTTGTTCAGACATTTCGTTTGCGAATAAAAACAAATATCTCGACAACACAACCCCGAACACAACACTTCGCCGCTAAAGCGCCGCGCGAGCTGCCCGCTGGTTTCGAGAACGGGTCTGCGTTGCCCGCCCCGCTCCCGCGCCGCCGCCGCCGCCGCCCCGCTGCCCGCTAAGTTCGAGGCTGAGGCCTAAAGCCTGGTCCGTGAGCACGTAGAATCCCGTCCAATGACCCCAAGCTACCCATCCCTATCGCTCGCGCGTAATTATGTTGCTTCGGGTTCCCTCGGGGTTAGGTTAGGTCAGCGCTCGTATTCCAGATATCCTCGAAACGAGCAGCCTGTCTCGTAGCGATGGGAAGCGTCCTGATGGAATGACGCCACTTGCGTTGACACTTTAGCGCCCTCCCATCTTCCTTCTACCGGCGTCAAGGTGGGTTCGGCTGCTGCTTCTGCAGAGGATCTTAAGCGGCGCAATTATGAAAATCTCAATGAGTCTTACATATTTGAGCCGTTTGGAGTTGAAACCCTGGGCCCGTGGGGACCAAGCGCCCACAAACTGTTTCGTAAGATGTCTCAGCGAGAGTTAAGACATCTTTTCTTACGATCCATAGGCTGGCCTATACCTTGGGCAACGCATTAGGCTGGCCAACCAGAGCGTGGCAATGTGGCGTCTTCCAAAAAACCAGCCTTCTGGGCACCTTCCCCCAAGGAAGCGATTGAAATGTCTTTTTATTTATAAAGCTTGTACGTAATATTTTAATTTTTACTTTTGTTTTTTTTTTATTTTAGGTTTAGTTTAGTTAAGTAGTTTAAAGTATTTAGTTGGATTATACATATGTATAGGTTCTTATTTATTGAATAAATACACAGTGCTGGTAGGTAGATAACTAAAATTTTAAATAAGAATAAATTCAAATTGTTTAATGCTGTCGCATTATTTATTTATTATTTATTCATTTACATTAACATATTCTGCACATACAGATATAGGTACATGCATTCATACATTGACCCTGTACGTAAGGGTGTAGCAAAGTCATCATCATCATCAACAACAGCCCTTTACAGTCCACTGCTGGACTATGAGCCTCCTCCACTATAGTGGAGGGTTTTGCCATAATCTCCACGCTTGGCAGGCGGGTTGGAGATCGCAGTTTAAAAGATTGATGTTTTTCAGAGAGCGCTGCTGCCCATTCTCTGCAAAGTCACAATCATTTATTTAATACTTAGTTAACATTAACAATTACAAATGCAAATAGTATAGTGGTGTTTAGAGATACAGGTATACCTTCATGAATAATGAATTACCTACTCGTAGCTATTGTTATGCATCGGTTGGGAAATCGTGAATATTATGGGAGAGTCTGGTAATTTCGACCACTTTTTTCAATCCCGTTAAAATTCAGCTTCATTATGATACAAGAAATAGAAGTGCGTGTAATTATTCAGATTCTAAGATTCCATTACATAGTTGGTTATACCACATAATAATAATAAGTACTACGTAGTTATACATACACGACGACCTAATAAAGGCGCGTTAAAAAAACTCGAATAAATGGAGTTCCTTTGTGAGTTTCATACTTCCTCGGTAAACACGGAACCTTTTTGTCGTTGGAACGTCTTAAAATGTATAGTAATCCAGTGACGACACAAGTTGCTTGCTTTCAGATTACAAACTAACCTAAGAGTAGTTTGCACAATTGCTACTCGTAGAGCATAAAGCTAATTAATAATACGTGCCCCTAGTTTGTTCACCAAACATGATTAAGTAGTGTAGCGAACGATCAATGTTAGTAGTTGGCAAACAAAGCCACCAGTGGCCACGCTCGCGCCCGCTCAGTCTAACGAGGGGACTCGCAAAAATGCGTCAGCTGTATTGCCGCCCAAAATTCAGTTTCCTCTTTCAGTGTTTTACAAAATGTTTAACGAAACAAGCTTCTTTTACGACATGGAAATAAACGAATGGGTTGAGCTACTCGCCAGGGATGTGAAGGAGCGGCCGGAGTGGGTGCGCCTCACGTTTGTGGCGCTGATGCTGGCTGTGTTCGCGGCCGGGCTGGTCGGCAACCTGCTCACGTGCGCCGTCATCTACTGCGACAAGACCATGCACACCGCCACCAACTATTACCTCTTCAACTTGGCGATATCCGACCTTATACTCGCCTTCGCGATATTGTTAGAGCTGAGATTTTATACCACGGTGGCAGCAGATCACAGTTTTGAGTATGAATATATCGAAAACTTGATATGTATAATACAAATGGTTATAACAGTAGCTCTGATGAATAATGGCATACTGAACCTAACTGTGCTGGCCATTGAGCGGTACATAGCGATCTGGCATCCTTTGTTATTGAACAGAAGACCTATTTGGCGTAGGGTGACGAAGGTCATCGCATGCATTTGGATCGTTGCCATTTTGGAGGCTCTACCTGAAATTTGGACACTAGCTTTCATTAAAACTAATACGTTGGCTATATGTATTATGGTGCCGACAGCGTTTGCTAGGATCTTGAACGGGGTCCTCGCTTTGGTGACGTTCGTGATTCCCCTGGGCATCATGGTGTTCGTGTACTCGATGATCGCGTTCAAAGTGAATGTCACGCCGAGGAAAAATTCAAGGGACAAAATATTCAACCAACGGGATAACAGGAGCAGAGTTCATAAGCTCGTTGGTAAGTTGAATAAAACTACATCAGAATCTGATTCGGGTTACCTCAGAACAGATTGAATTAAAATCACTAGTTTTTTCAGTTATTGCGCCCAATTTTGCAGAGATCATTATAATGCAATTAAATGTCCAAATAAGTCTCCTAATGTCAGTCATACGGCCTATACATATAAATCTTTAGCACTCTTTACTAATGGTAACACATGTTGGTGATCAGCAGCGGTGACCGTGTCGTTTCTGGTGTGCTGGGTGCCCTTCTTCGCTCTGAGGCTCGTCATCTTTGCGTACAACATGCATTACCCTTCATGGTTTTCTCAGGTAGGTATATTATGTATAAATACCTAAAACTTAATTTATTAGCATGCGTTATTATCTGTTTAAATTTTTTGGTCTATCTGTTTTTATTAATCTGAACTTCCAACAATATTGATATTATTTACAACAACATTTTTGTTTATTTTCAGAATTGGGACTTATTTATGATGGTAATTTCATTCAACAGCTGGTTTAGCATAGTGCTCAACCCTATACTTTGCAGCTTAATGTCAACTAAGTTTAGAAAAGCTCTTAAGGTAGGAATAACAGCGAATATAATTAAGTAATTTTCCTTAAATATAAATATAGTAAGTACAGGCCTTTTACAAAAACAAATTACTTATTTGAGCACTGATAACTTATCATATAAAATAGTAGGTACTTTAATCGTGATTTTATGAACCACTAGCTGACCCGGCGAACTTCGTACCGCCTTAGCGTAGAGATTTTCTTTATATTTTTTTCCGTAAAAACCTTGTACAGAGTATTAGAAAACTACAAAAAAAAATCAGCCAAATCGGTCAAGCCGTTTTCATGTTATGTCGCGACAACGGAAAACGGGTTTCATTTTTATATATATCTAGATTAATTTTGGCTGTTAAATATTCACGCGAAGTTCCGAACGCGGAATATTTAAACGGTTTCTAACAAATACTTTACTAAGCCAGAATTATAATTGAAATGAAATTTTATTTTTGTTTATATTTAATATTGTACGTTACAGGTAATATGGGCGACAAAAATAAGAAAGACCCGCGAAGTGACCCTGCGCACGCGCGCGACTGTGTGAACGGAATGCAAATGTACTTATTTTAATAAAAGTTTTAGTGCAAAGCGTATTGCTGAGGCAATTAACTAACTACTTATAAGTTAATATTGTAAGATTACCAGACTCTACATATACAATTTTATATTGATTGTTTTAAACCCTATCTTAATTTATGATGCCTTGTCAACGTTTGTGTCAACGTTCTCAACTTTTTGTAAGGATTACTAGTTTTACAGTATCATTATACATGTAGGTACTTAGCTGGTAGGTGCTACCTTTTACTCTGTCTTCTATTGTTCTTTTTGTATTTTTTAAATTAAAAAGGTAACTTGACCTAAGAATAAGTAGGTACATGAATTTGAATACCAATCAAAATCGTGATGTAACTCGAATGTGTTCATATTTTTAAGAACCTTAATTAAATTGTAGTGTTAAATTGAAATTATTCTGTTGTAATAGAAACTGTATCAGCTTGGTAAACACGGGAATTAGTTTTATTGCAACGCCGTAAAAAATTAAACCCGTGTCATCGTCGTTTGCTTTCAGATTACACTCTATTTTGGTTAGCACAAAGGATACCTATAGCATTAAGCTACGTGTCACTAGTTTGTTCACCAAACATGATTAGTTTAGCGTATAAATGTTAGAAGTGGACAAACACAGTCGCCTACATACACAAGAAAACGCTCGCTCCAGCTCAGTTACGTGAAGGTGCTCGCTGAAAATGAGTCAGTCTGACTGCAACCAAAGAACACAGAGCCCTTTTCAGTGCCGTTGCCCAAACTTGTAAACATGTCCAACGAGACCAGTTACTTTTACGACTTCGATATAAACGAGTGGGCGGAACTACTCGCGAAAACCGTAAAGGAACGACCGGAGTGGGTGCGCCTGATGTTCATGGCGCTGATGCTGACGGTGTTCGCCGTCGGGCTGGTCGGCAACCTGCTGACGTGCGCAGTCATCTACTGCGACAAAAGCATGCACACCGCCACCAACTATTACCTCTTCAACCTGGGAATATCTGACTTTATACTCGCTTTTGGTATATTGTTAGAACTGAGATCCTACAGAAAGGCTAAAATAGACACTGTAGCAGATTACGTTTATGTGTATAGTGAAGTGGGGGACTTGATATGTAAGCTACATTCATTTATAACGTTAGCCCTGATGAATAATGGCATACTGAACCTAACTGTGCTGGCCATTGAGCGGTACATAGCGATCTGGCATCCCTTGTTACTGAACAGGAAACCTATCTGGCGCAGGGTGATGAAGGTTATCGCATGTATTTGGATTCTTGCCATTTTGGAGGCTCTGCCCGAGATATGGACAATAGCTTTGATTAAAACGAACAAACTGGCGATCTGCTTCATCGTGCCGACGACTTTTGCCAGGATCTTGAACGGGGTCCTCGCTTTGGTGACGTTCGTGATTCCCCTGGGCATCATGGTGTTCGTGTACTCCATGATCGCGTTCAAAGTGAACGTCACGCCGAGGAAAAATTCAAGGGATAAGATTTTCAACCAACGTAATAACAGGAGTAGAGTTCATAAATTGATTGGTAAGGAAAGTTGATGAACCAAATTAATTATTACAAAATAATATCTCTACTGTCTCTTTAAATGTCTTAGCTACACATTGAAAATACTTAGATGTTTTGATTTTATCACCGAGCCGCACACAAAAAACTGGCAAGGCTTTCAATATGTAGGTGAAAACCTACAGATTGAAAGCCATAAAATTTGCCAGCGTACACAAGGTAAAAAGAAAACGATTTGATTCGAGCTAATCTATTTCAGTGATTGTTTAAAGCCTGTTCTGCATAAGTGCTTATTAATACGTATTGTGGTGATCAGCAGCGCTGACCGTGTCCTTCCTGGTGTGCTGGCTGCCCTACTTCACGCTGCGCCTGCTCATCTTCGCTTCCAACATGAGGCATACTCCGTGGTACGCTCAGGTTGGTAAATCGTTGAGCTTACATTTTTTTTCCCTACATAAATAAATGCGATAACCGCAAACGTATTACCTCTAAATCCTACTAATATTATAAATGCGAAAGTTTTGATGTCTGGATGGATGTTTGTTACTCTTTCACGCAAAAACTACTGAACGGATTTTGATGAAACTACAGTATTATTTTTTATAACCCAGAATAACATATAGGCTATAATTTATGACGATCTATGACAAACTAAATTTCACGCGGGTGACGTCGCGGGCAAAAGCTAGTAACCCATAAGACGTAAACACACCTTGCAGCTAACAGGAGAAATTACGAAAATACAATTAACATACCTTACTATGTAGCAGCTTCAATACAATAACACTTCACACAGATAATATTAGGAAATACTTTTTTTCACACACAAGTCCTCACTTATTTTTCAGTCACGTTATTTTTAAGTAAACTGCTTAACGGCAGGTAGAGTTATGCACTAAATAAATGCACTAATTTCCACATATTAATTACAATAATTTAGCGATGCGCACACGCTTCTGATTTTGACAACTAATTAATAATACGTCAAAGTTCACAGTATCGCGTAATTCAAATTTCGAACATCGTGGTGCAGACGCTTTAATTTACTCGTTCGTTCCTCAAGAGGGCAAAGGACGTAAAATCATGCAGCCTTGAACATTCTGCGCTTGAATTTATCGAATCAAAGTTATACATGTGATGGTTATTAAAAATGTAGGAAACAAGAAAAGTTATAGGTTCCCAACCCATTGGCTCTATTGCAAGTTTATTTAATTTTTTTGTGGCTTTTAAAACCTTAACCTGACTGGACGATGTGGTTTAAAAATATGGCTACACACTACCGCTACACGGACGGAAACGAATTGTCGTTTAACTATGAAATCACACATTTCCTCTTTAGAACTGGGACGTGCTGCTGATGGTGACGTCGTTCAACAGCTGGTTCAGCATCGTTCTCAACCCCATGCTCTGCAGCTTGATGTCTACCAAGTTCAGAAGATCCCTACAGGTTAAAAAATACTGTGCTTTTTTGAAAATTATAATCGAACTGCCTAAGGAGGGAATCGAACCCACGACTTTTCACGACGAAGTTTGAGATGCAACTCTTAACGCTAAAAATTAATTACAATACTGTGCATTTCAAATTATGTGTAATGTGAGTTGCTAAAATATCTGTCTTTGATGATGATATTAGTCTCCTTCAAATCTTGTTTCTGTAACATGTGGGATCAACTGCGATCCAAACACTGAAGGTACAGACGACGGCACGTCAAGCTAAACACTGTGAGCTCTTAATTACTTGTAGTAGGGGTGATTTTGCAACAAAAATGTATATGTTGATGTGCTGTCGTCTGTACATAATCGTACTTACACTAATATTCTTTTATTTGTTCCAGGTATTATGGACAACAAAAATAAGAAGGGCTCGCGCTAAAACGCCTAAAGTAGTAACTGTATGGACTGTATAATGCCTACGTACTTACCTAGTACCTACTTATACTAGTTGATAAATCGCATGTAACACCAATGTCGATTGGCTCTCTCTGGAAATAGTAACAATCAAACGTTACTTTTCACCGGGTTTTAAAAAGTTAAATTACATACTTAGTAGGTAGAGTACCTAATCTTTAGTAGGACCTTAGATCTCCGACTCCAATAAGTAAGTACTGACAAAAACAGACTGGAAATGGATAGCTTTTAATTTCTATACGTTATTAAATTTTGTTTTTGTTTTTATTTCTACCATAAATCCTATAGTTCCCAACTTACCAATATGCATATATGATATTAATTAATTACCCGAACAAAATTAAATATAAAAGCCAAATAACATAATAATATCTTCATTTCCTTATTATTATCCAAGTGACGGCCTTTTGGAAACAATTAAACGCACGTGAAACCATTCATTGGCTTTTTTAATCCACTTAAGTGCTCGATACATACTGTGTGTGCTGTATGCAAATATTGGGTGCACGTGGTGTAGTGCTGTGTACGACAGGGGCGCCGAAAAAAGGTTTCTTGTTTTAGCGAAATTATTGATCACGAATAGCGTAGATTTGAATAAGTAAATAGATGAATTCCAAAACTAGTGAAATTGATCATAAAATAGAGCTAATTAAAAAAATAAATAATCGTCGTCGTCGACGTCGCTTCTGTTGAACGAATAGTCGTGCAGGGGAAGGTTGAGGGCACAAGAGCGCGCGGCAGGTCGCCCATGGGCTGGACTGACCAGATCGTAACCGCATTCAATGGTCCACTCCACGAGTGCACAAGAAAGGCTGCAGTGCGGGAGGAATGGCGACGGATTGTGAGGCTCACCACCGGACCCGGTGTGACGACCACGACCGCTCTGGCAAGAGTGTAGCGACGAAGAAGAAGAAGAAATCATGAAACCTATCCTATGCATTTTTGTTCTTTAGGAAAACAGATTCTGAATACGATGCAACGATTACAACAACATTGAACAACATTGTGTAATGAAAAATATCATTTTCCAGTTGGCACCCCTTCAACTAAGGCACCGCACTAGAGACGGTAATTAATCACTATTAGTATCTGGGGGCACGGCAGTGCCCCCGCCAAGTCGAGCGCGAAGCAAACACTGCCGTACCATCCTTTACTGGAACCATTTCGCCGCATTTTCAGGCCCCTATTTGAGAACCTCTGGATAAGACCAGAACGCAAAAATTTTCGTCATCTAGTAAGCTATAATCACATACTTTAAATCCAAAATTTCAAGTCTGTAGGTCATTTAGTTCCGAAGTTAAGCGAAAGCAAAGTTTCGCATTTACGACACTCACTCACTCACTCACTCACTGATGATCATCAAAATAGAACTAGTACTTCCCATTAACTCAGANAAATCAACGAAATTCAAATATTTACACAACATTCAACTTAATCGACGGCGATCTAGAAAGGAAAAAAAATCTGGACACCGCGGTGCAGAAAAATGACGCTCAAAGTGCTAGCGCCATCTAGCGGTGAGCGGTATAGGCGAACACCACGGTGCCGGTTGTGGCGCTAGTAGTATTGATTATGAATATGGTGTTACTCCAGATTTTCGATTTTCCTAGTTTTTATAGTTTTCCCTTTACGTGGCCATTAAACCCTAACTCTGTACCAAATTTCAGCTCTCTGAGTTGATGGGAAGTACTAGTTCTATTTTGATGATCATCAGTGAGTGAGTGAGTGTCGTAAATGCGAAACTTTGCTTTCGCATAACTTCGGAACTAAATGACCTACAGACTTGAAATTTTGGATTTTAAGTATGTGATTATAGCTTACTAGATGACGAAAATTTCAGCGTTCTGGTCTTATCCAGAGGTTCTCAAATAGAGGCCTGAAAATGCGGCGAAATGGTTCCAGTAAAGGATGGTACGGCAGTGTTTGCTTCGCGCTCGACTTGGCGGGGGCACTGCCGTGCCCCCAGATAATCGTCGTCGTCGACGTCGCTTCTGTTGAACGACTAGTCGTGCAGGGTAAGGTTGAGGGCACAAGAGCGCGCGGAAGGTCGCCCATGGGCTGGACTGACCAGATCAAAACCGCATTCAATGGTCCACTCCACGAGTGCACAAGAAAGGCTGCAGTGCGGGAGGAATGACGATTGATTATGAGGCTCGCCACCGGACCCGGTGTGACGACCACGACCACTCTTGCAAGAGTGTAGCGACGAAGGAGAAGAAGAAATCATGAAACCTATCCTATGCATTTTTGTTCTTTAGGAAAACAGATTCTGAATACGATGCAACGATTACAACAACATTGTGTAATGAAAAAATACATTTTCCAGTTGGCACCCCTTCAACTAAGGCACCGCACTAGAGACGGTAATTAATCACTATTAGTATCTAGCTGTTAGCTTATTCAGTTCAATACCATAGCTTAGGAAGCGCGACGCGTACAAGCCTTTAGCTCCAAATCACTTTATTATTAATAGTCAAGTGCCTGCAGAATAATGGCCAGCAACAACAGTTCAGTTGACTCACAAGACTGGAGAGCAGAATTCATAGAAGCGATGTACTCGGATAAGTCGGTCTGGGCTCTAGTGTTGTATCAGTGGGTGATGGTCGTGATCTTCGTGGCGGGCGTGTGCTTCAACCTGCTGTCGTGCGCGGCGCTGTGGCAGGCGTGGCGCGCGCGCGCCGTCGACTACTACCTCCTCAACCTGACCGCCGTGGACCTCGTCGCGGCCTTCGGCATCCTCCTGGAACTCAACGGATACTCCCACTCCCCGAACGACTTCGAAGGCCTGTGGGACGCGGTGTGCAAAGTGCACTACTTACTGTTGTTCACCTTATTCAACACGGACATTTTGACCGTAACCGCGCTCGCGATCGAGCGATACGTGGCCGTGTTTCATCCGTTGCTGCTGAATAAAAATCCCGGGAGGAGAATGAGGAAAATTATCTGCTCGATTTGGTTGATTGCGATTCTTGAATCTGTGCCGGAGATGTGGACGGTGTGTGTGGTGCAAACGCAGAGAGTTTCCATGTGTGTCTACGTTCCGACTTCGCATGCCAAAGTGGCGAATGTAGTGTTAAGTCTGGCGACGTTCGCGATTCCGCTGGGCGCCATGTGCCTGGCGTACGCGCGGCTGGCGGGCGCGGTGCGGCGCGCGCAAGCCAGTCAGGCAGCTGTCTTCAACCACCGCAATAACAGCAGTAAAATTAATAAGCTTATAAGTAAGTTTTTGCGTATTGCTCTTTATTTTGTTACTAATCTGCCTATCTTCAACCACCTTACCTAAGTCTGTCGCCATAACAACAATGTTAACAGCATTGTTGTGTTCCGGCAGTTAGAGGTAAGATAGCCAGTTCCCCCGTGGTTGAGGATTCCGGGTGAAGCTCGCTTCCACCTTCGGCCTGATCACTGTCACTTACCATCAGGTGAGATACAGGCCAAGAGCTTCCTCGTTGTGGATAAAAAAAAAATATCTTAGGTATCCTTTTGCACAGAAATATCCGATACTACCTACCTACACAGATGTTTCGTTTAACATTTATTTACGAAGACGAAACATCTAGATTTGAAAATCCCCCTTACTTTTCCGGCCAATCCTTCTCACCTCCATTAATACGTTCCGTATGTCCAGTTGCGCTGACAGCGTCGTTCCTGGTCTGCTGGCTTCCGTTCTTCGTGGTTCGGATCATGTGTACGCTCGATACACAAAGATCTTGGATGTTACAGGTGATATTATATTCTTCATATATACTTAAAATACTTATAATAAATCTATAGAGAGGTCAATTCTGTACATGAAATATATTCAAAGTCAAAGTCAAAATTTCTTTATTTGTTTAGACTAATAAATAGTTCTTACAAATGGTCATTTTGCTCTTAAGGGGCCGTNGATAACCAGCACGACTTGCCTCAACACCCAGTTCCGGCTTGACGTTACATTACGGGACACCCTGTATATAAAACTCAAAGGTAACTGACTGACTGACTGACATAGTGATCTATCAACGCACAGCCCAAATCACTGGACGGATCGGGCTGAAAGGGTAATGCCCACTTAGTATGGGACCTTTGGCCTGAGGTGGACAGACATTACAGCATGTAATTTGTTATTTATTAAGTAGTCTATACCAGTAAGAAACAGAATATAAATATCATGTTGTATCCAAGTCCTTAAAAAATTTTTTTTTTGCTTAGGACTAGAAAGGTTAGAAGCAAAATAAAACACCATTTTTAAAATTATTATTATTTTAATCTGACTCATGGGTCAATAAAATATTGTCTAGGAACTAGGCAGGTGGAAATACATGTTCCTGATACCTTGCCCAGCTCAAAAACCACAAAATTGTCATAACAAGAGCACAGCAACCTACTGTTATTCGGCCAATATAAGGGCAAATGAATCCTCGTCCCATCATGTGTTTGTTGGGGCTCCACAGCATGTGTAGCAGCTCGATCAGCTCACTGCCGTCAGGGATGACATATTTGGTCAGATCCCCGCAGCTGAAACAAAGAAATTAATTATGGTATCATTCAAAATTCATTCTTTAAGATATTGAGATGTGATGTCAATTTTTATCTATCAGTAAGAAGTATTTGTATAGAAAAAAATATACACTTTGTTCAAATATATCAAGCCAATGTCTTTAATAAAATATAATGAAAATAATTATAAAAAAACTTACTTGACGAGGTGAAATCTGTTCCATTATTACATTATTTTCGAATATGTGATTCTCTTTCCGTGTTAATATGCAGTCTATGGAACGTATTTGTAACAAAGACAATCCACGTTAACAGTGACCAGTGCTAGAGGTTGCTTCTTCATTTGAAATATTATTTGTCCTTGATTGGTGCAGAGCCACACCGTGGCCACGGTCCAACATGAGTGACAACATACACTGCTGTTATCAATCTAAAAAAAAAGTTTTATTAGGATTATGGTAATCTACGGTAAAGGTAGTTGATCAAATACATTGTAAAAGGTATTCAACAAGTCCACACGCTCATTCAATAACTTACCAGCTGAGGAGTCATCCACTGACATTATAACCAACTGAACTTAATAAGCTCTAGGCTATGTCGCCTCCTCTGCATCATGTCAGCTATACAATTGATACATATCATAGGTTCCTCATGAGATTGAGGAATTGCTGGTTGCATTATCCAAAATCGGGCTGGGGTTAACATTGGGGCTCGGGTCGGAGTCCATACGTAAGCCGTGGTCGGCGTTTAGGCAAGGTTCGATGTCCGAAAGTGAGCCATTGGTCATTGGTTGAGTGAGATTCGTAGTTCGAGAGTATGCCAGGGTCATCGGGAAGGGAAGCATCGAGGACCATGGTCAAAAAAATAAAGACGTCAAAAGGGAAACTTATACAACACTCTTCTGCTTTTATTTTGGCAAAGACTTGGTTTTGAGAACTAAACAACACTCACGATGAAAAATACAAAACAAAGCGAATGACAGATAACAGCTGTGACAATATTTTCAGTGTTGCCATGCTAATAATGTGGTGATGAATAAAAATAATCGATATAAAAATCAATTGTATTTTTTGATGACTCGAAATAAGGTGTAATAATAAGGTGTGTGTGAAATAAGGTTTCATTTAGTTATTTAAATATTTTTGGTAGTGTTATTGGAATATTAAAAAGGTTTTATACATGTCGTTTTAATTAATACGTATTTAAAAAAATACTAATTGTTATAGTCGAAAAACAATCGATATGAATCGATTCTTACCGATAAGATTCATTTTGGCAACACTGAATTGAGTGTTAAAGACAGGAAGTTGTTATTATCACATAAAGTACTATTTAAATTGGATTTTTATAAAGGCAAATTGATACAAAGTTACACTAAGTGAATACTTGAAAAATTAATTAAATTTTTTTGGCAAATTCATATTTTCATTAGCAGCTTGTCCACGCCAGGCCAGAAATGAACATTGTCCTTTGGCATGCAGGTAGATGTTATGACGTAGGCATCCGCTAAGAAAGGATTTTACGAAACTCCCCTAAGGGGGTAAAACGGGATCCACGCGTACGAAGTCGCGGGCGGCCGCTAGTTCTACATAAAATAAATAAGGTCTTAGTAAAATAACGTAGCGTCCATTAACTCGAACCAATTTTTTTAGAACTATGACATCCTGATGATGGTGGCTCTCAACAGCTGGTTTACCATCGTCCTGAACCCGCTGCTTTTCGGCTTTCTGTCTACAAAGTTCAGAAACGCTCTCAAGGTAAGCTCTTAATGAGAAAAGTATTTGTACCATTTACTACAGTTTCAAGAGTAGTATTAGTATTTCCTAATGAGGTTCAGACTTGCGAAAGATCCCTGGAAGAAATTATATGCGTCAAATCGAGGACAGTGAAAGATGACCTGAAGTCCTATGCCCAGCCAGAAATGGCCCGATGATGGTGATTCAGTTTCGAAAAAAATATGCAATAATACCTTCAAACAATTTAATACGTTAAAACAGAATGATTACGTCGCATCCTATGCTGTTCACAGACCCCTGACTCGCACCGATGTATCAATCACATTTCACATTTTAAGATATTGCAATGCGCTGACATGTCATTTTTTATTTACAGTCCTTGTGGAATACAAAATTCAAGAGACATCAATCGAGCAGCAGAATTTTAGTAGTGTGAAGTTACCTCAAAAATCTGGAATCACTCCCTACAATTCAGTAGAGATGAAACGGATATCCGGTAACTATCCGGTAGGCCGGATATCCGGCCTAAATTTACTATCCGGCCGGATACCGGATATTAACTCACTATCCGGCCGGATACCGGATATTAAAAAACTACGACAATTTCCTATTAATAAAACGAAATACATTAATCTTTGAGGTAAATATCAATAAAATGGCTTATAATAATGACGGCCTTTATATAAAGTATAAAAAGTTACAAAAAAGCCATATTAAAGCCTGTCAAAAAACTCTTTTTCTGTTTCTGGGCTATCTATACTTATAATAAATCTGTAGAGAGGTCAATTCTGTACATGACATAAATTTTCAAAATAACTATTAGGGGATGATTAGTGATCGATACTGATGCCAAAATAGCAATCAGTAAAATTTTTGTCTGTCTGTCTGCCTGCCTGTATGTTCCTTATACACTCGCGAGCAAAAGTATGGAATCACTTACATGAAGTTGTTTCCACGCGATCTTGTGTACTAACGAATTTGTTAGGAACAAAAAAAGTGGCACCATTTTAAAGATTAAACTTTTATCTTTAAATTGATACCAAATTCATTTAAATCACACCAGTATTTAAAAAGATATCCCGGCTGATGTGAAGAAGTAACGAAAAAGACATGTATGAACTGTTTGATACGTCGCGAGTTGCGGCCTATTTACCCCCTATAAAAGCACGCGTTTTCGGATTTTTGCTTTCACACGTTGATTTACACACATCTCCGCTTCTTTTGACACTTTACCTGGGATTCTACACCTTCAGAAGCAGCACAAATCGTTGCACTATTGCAAGAAGGGCTCAGCCAGCGGGCTGTTGCACATCAGCGCCACATAAGCCAGTCCTGGGTTTCGAAAGTTTTAAGACGCTTTTGGGAGACTGGTGGCTTTATCCCGAGACCAAGTTCTGAACAGCGCCGGCGCACATCGCAGAGGGAAGACCGTTTTTTCATGTCAACCCCGGCGCTGTTCAGAACTTGGTCTCGGGATAAAGCCACCAGTCTCCCGAAAGCGTCTTAAAACTTTCGAAACCCAGGACTGGCTTATGTGGCGCTGACGTGCGACAGCCCGCTGGCTGAGCCCTTCTTGCAATAGTGCAACGATTTGTGCTGCTTCTGAAGGTGTAGAATCCCAGGTAAAGTGTCAAAAAAAGCGGAGATGTGCATGAATCAACATGTAAAAGCAAAAATCCGAAAACGCCTGCTTTTATAGGGGGTAAATAGGCCGCAACTCGCGACGTATCAAACAGTTCATACATGTCTTTTTCGTTACTTCTTCACATCAGCCGGGATATCTTTTTAAATACTGGTGTGATTTAAATGAATTTGGTATCAATTTAAAGATAAAAGTTTAATCTTTAAAATGGTGCCACTTTTTTTGTTACTAACAAATTCATTAGTACACAAGTTTGCGTGGAAACAACTTCATGTAAGTGATTCCATAGTTTTGCTCGCGAGTGTAGAAACAAAAACTACTCGACGGATTTTAACGAAACTTGGTACAATTATTCTTCATACTCTTGGGTAGGTTATAGTATACTTAGAAATTCCCACAGGAACGGGAATTATCGGGAAAATCCTTTTGTATGAAAAATCTAAACCGCTTAAGTTAGACGCTTGAAATTTGGCATGCAGGTACTTTAGTAAACTTAAAGCTTAGTTACAACAGGATATTGCAAAGTTCCCACAGGAACGGGAGTTAGCGGGAAAAAACATTTGTATGAAAAAATCTAAACCACGTAAGATAGATGAAGGGGGTAAAACGGGATCCACGCGTACGAAGTCGTGGGCGGCCGCTAGTTCACTCTAATGGAGAATACATAAATAGTAAAAAATATCTGTTAGTGTCGAAATATTGTCAAATAAAATGGGCGATCTTTTTTTCACTGAAGGTCTGATGACATGATGCAGTTCAGTCAGATTACGCAGCAAGTAAACTAATTTAATTTTCGCTATTCAATCACACACTCACGATGGCAACCGAAATGGCCCGAATTGATCTGCCCCCTAGACAAGTGGCATAATCTGACATTCTATTCGGACGGATTCGAATTTCGAAAAGTGTGACTAGTCTAGTCTATTAATAGACCCACTGATCGCGTTCGAAGCACCTGTGCAGCGCTAAACTCGTCACGACATGCAACGAGACAATGGGCCAACTATCCGGCCGCCGGATATCCGGCTATCCGGCCTAGCAGCCGGCCGGATATCCGGTATCCGGTATCCGGCCAAACAACTATCCGTTTCATCTCTAATTCAGATGCACCTACTTACTTTTTGGAGGTTCGAAATAAAGTTCAATTATATTTTGTGTTGGATCATTCTCCACATAGGCAATAATTGTAAGAAAGTAAATAATTTATCAATAAAAGGCAATCTATTGTGTATAATTCATTTAAAAAATCATCAGCCTGTATTTCATTTGACTAAAGAAGAAGGCAATTAAAACACCTAAGTAAATCACAAAATCACAGCTCATATCTTGCCGGCCTCGACCATGTCCTTGAGCTTGAACTTCTGAATCTTGCCGGAGGTGGTCTTAGGGAAGTCGTCCACCGTCTTGAGTATTCGAGGCATCTTGAAGCGGGCCAGTTTGCCCGCCAGGTGGCGCCGCGCGTCGTCGAGCGTAATGGAAGCCCCGGGACGAAGGCGGACAACCGCGCACAATTCCTCGCCTACTCGCTCGTCTGATACGCCCACCACCTGGATAACGTTTTCTAATATGGTCAGAGAACTTTATTGATACTTAATTTACTTACAGAAAGCTACAAAGCTTGCTACCTACTTAATTTCTAAATGAGCATGAAAGAAGAGAGTTTTGAATGTGTGTACTTACCCACACAAAACGAGTTATGCTACTCGCAAAACAAACGGTTTTCGTCGTTATGATCATGGTAATGGTCTAGACCTAGAAAACGGTTTCTAGCAAGATGTGAGCGGAATGTGAGCTGTTAAAAATATGGAATATATGTGGAATAGAGTAGTATAAGTCAAGTATTGTTTTTGAGAATTGTGTGCAAGGAAGACATCGGTTTTGATTTCTCAAACGCTTCTTCACTGAGGTGAGATTACTATCACCACTCTTTACTCTTTATCTCTAGTCTTTGCTTTCATTTAAACTGAGGCCTGAGGTCATAGAAAATAAGATAGAAGGTATATAATGATGTTTAATGATAGTGCCTTTAGGCTCTGGACGATGTCCTGGTGCGTATTAAACATGTCCTCAATCTTCGCTTCGACCTAGCTTGCAGATTAGAAATGTTTTTATTTTTTAAGGACGTAATTGATCAGTGCCTTTCGACAATATCCTGCTGCGTGTTGAGCAGTTCCTAGTCTTCGCTTTGCTGTGTAAGCATATGAAAATGAAATGTTTTATTTAGCGACACAAAACAACATCAATAAAATGATAACAAAACTAAAAATAAATAGAGTAGGTAATGTGCGTGTCACCGAAACGGTATGCACTCAGCATCATGTCGAGGTGTCGTAAGGAACACCACGACGCTGGTCTTCCGTGGATACTCGAAGCGCAAGAGGCACTGCTATGACACAGCAATACTACTCCGGTTGCATCTTAGAGAATAGTAAAGAAAGGTTTATTTTTAACTAGCTTTCCGCCCGCGACTTCGCCCGCGTAGAATTTTGTCTGTCACAGAAAAACTTTATTGCGCGCGTCCCTGTTTCAAAAACCGGGATAAAAACTATCCTATGTTCTTTCCCGGGTCTCAAACTGTCTCTCTGCCAAATTTCATCAAAAAGTGGTTTAGGCGAGAGAGACAGAGTTACTTTCGCATTTATAATAATAATATTAGCATAGATTATAGTCTGGTCCGGGAGCACGTAGAATTTTGTCCAATGACCCCAAGCTACCCATCCTTATCGCTCGCGCGTAAAATTATTTCGCTCGCACACTCACTGCGGGCGCGCGTCGCACAGTCGCGACAGCAATATAATTACGCGCGAGCGATAAGGATGGGTAGCTTGGGGTCATTGGACAAAATTCTACGTGCTCCCGGACCGGACTACAATATAGATGCTGCCTGGCCGTACCTGGCTCTCGACAATGTCTGGGTGCGTGTTGAGCAGGTCCTCGATCTCCTTGGGCGCGATGTTCTCTCCGCCGCGCACCACGATGTCCTTCAGCCGGCCCACGATTCGCGCGTACCCGTCCGGCCTTAGCACGAACTTGTCGCTGCAACACAAGCAACAGTTGGGGGCCGTTCAAGTATTACGTAAGCACCAAGGGGGGGGGGACTCTGTTTCTGAGGGCACGGCAGTGCCCCCACCAAGTCGAGCAAAAAAGCAGCACGGCCGTACCATCCTTTTCTCGAAGCAATTCAGGCCATTTTCGACCGCCTGTAACNATTAGGGGCCGTTCAAGTATTACGTAAGCACCAAGGGGGGGTGGGGGGGTCTCTGTTTTGCTTATTTTGGATGACATGGGGGGGTAGGGGGGTCTAGGTGATGATTACGTCATCGTTAATTATTTACGTTTTTTCGGGGATTCCCGCAAATAATACATAGGTATGCGTAGGCACTCGCTTTGAGAACTGATTAGGGGAATTACCGCACATAGGGAAATTACCGTGCGCTATTCACTTGTCTAATAGTTAACTCTCATGCCGACACTGCCCATTGAAATTTGAGAGTCGTAGTCCTCATAATATTATACGCGAGGCCGACCTCCCGCGCGCGTGTTTTGTTTGGATACTAAACGTATAGTCCAGTAGAATTAGATTTTAAATCGGAAATATTTCCTACAAAAGATTTTATTGCTTTAATGGCTTCATTGGTTGCCCATTAAGACTCTCCTAGGTTTTCGACTTCGACGGAGTTGTGCTTAAGTGGTGGGGGCCCCCGAAAGGGGCGCTTTTTCGGTTTTCTGGTTATACCGCGTAAAGGACTTACCCTATCGAAAAGTGGTCTTCCTGACGGTTGAAGGGCATTTAATCCTGCATCAAATAAGACCAAATTCATATGTTTTGAACAAACCGTTCTCGTGCAAATCCCTCTCCACGTCCAATAACTCGTCACCCGTAAGCTCCCAAGCCTTGTAAAGGGTCGTCTTAACCAGCGTATCCCTGTCAAGGATCACGAGTTGGATTCGCTTATCCTTGTTTGTCCCAGCCGTTCCTTAACTGCGGTTGCTGCACCTCTCCCTGGCACTCTCCTGAACGACTCTGTGTTACCTAATGTGGCTGCCCCTCTTCCTTGTACCCTCCTGTACGATTGCATTGCTTAGCAATATGCCTGGTCCAAGGTTAGACGCCACTAATTTTATTTCGATTCAATTCCTAACGCTCGATTTATTGTGGGCAAAAGAAGGAGTGCGCTGCCCGCTCGTTGCCCGCTCAAGCGCCGCTGCCCGCTCGTTGCCCGCTGCCGCGCCTCTGTTTTCGAGAACCGGTCTATTTGATTTTACGCATAAGATCCTGCCGCTCCCGCGCCGCCGCCGCCGCCGCCGCCGCCGCCGCCGCCCCGCTGCCCGCTAAGTTCGAGGCTGAGGCCTTAAAGCACTAAAATCTTTAGTAGGAATTATTTCCGATTTAATTCATTTTTGTGTTTAATTCTACTGGCCTAGTATTGTAAGCATTGATAGTTATCATTTGTGTTTATGTTGATGCATAATTGATGCAATTATGCTTGTTATGTTCTTTATTTCTGATTATATTTTTTTGTCCCTTACTCTATGTGTATCAGTTAAACCTAATAGTTTCATGAATTTTCCTATTTTAAAAATGACAATATAAAAAACATTTATAACTAAAATGTTTACGTAAGCATAGGGGGAGGGGGTAAGTGCTTTGCTTACTTTTGATGACAAGGGGGGCGGGGGNAGTGCTTTGCTTACTTTTGATGACAAGGGGGGCGGGGGGGTAAAAAATGGTAAGAAATCTGCTTACGTAATGCTTGAACGGCCCCTTGCACTGCGACATCCTCCCATACATTTTGAGCAGACCACCGATTTTTAGTTGGCCGATAGTCGGGCCCGATTCTAATTTGTATGAAGAATCGGTCTATACCAAATCGGTGTAATGTGCGCACTTTCATACACCTCCATTCTGATTGACATTCCGATCCAACTATCGGCCAACTAAAATTCGGTGGTCTGCGCCTAGGCTTAGTATAGCAGATAAGCTGGACAATTTCACCAGCTCCATTAAGGGACTACTTACTGTTTTCAAAGCAGCTAATAATCTTATTATAATTGTTTTATAGAGAAGTTGTCTTCCAATTAACTGATTGATGTTTGTGGCCAAGGAGTATGATATCGTTCAGTACACTATTATAAAACATTATGAATTATTCCAACCAGAGATAATTTGTCAATAGTCTTTTCACCAACAAATGTAGGCCAAATCCTTCATTTATCATGTACATTAGAAAGGGTCGTGCTCCTGCCTTTAATGACCTGATGGTGACGATGAATATCTTGTCGATTGCTGTGGTTTTTCGGATGTGATTATGACTACAAGGATGGTATGATTAATACATGCAACAATAAATATAGGCGTGGTAGTCTCACCCGGTGCTCAGCCAGCCGTCGTCAGCCAGCACCTCGCTGGTCTTCCCGGGCTCGGCCCAGTAGCCCAGCATGGTGCTGTAGCCGCGCTGCAGCAGCTCGCCGCTGGCGCCCCAGGGGACTGTCTCCTTCCTGGTGCACCACCTGGGAGTGTGTATGACTCACCCGGTGCTCAGCCAGCCGTCGTCAGCCAGCACCTCGCTGGTCTTCCCGGGCTCGGCCCAGTAGCCCAGCATGGTGCTGTAGCCGCGCTGCAGCAGCTCGCCGCTGGCGCCCCAGGGGACTGTCTCCTTCCTGGTGCACCACCTGGGAGTGTGTATGACTCACCCGGTGCTCAGCCAGCCGTCGTCAGCCAGCACCTCGCTGGTCTTCCCGGGCTCGGCCCAGTAGCCCAGCATGGTGCTGTAGCCGCGCTGCAGCAGCTCGCCGCTGGCGCCCCAGGGGACTGTCTCCTTCCTGGTGCACCACCTGGGAGTGTGTATGACTCACCCGGTGCTCAGCCAGCCGTCGTCAGCCAGCACCTCGCTGGTCTTCCCGGGCTCGGCCCAGTAGCCCAGCATGGTGCTGTAGCCGCGCTGCAGCAGCTCGCCGCTGGCGCCCCAGGGGACTGTCTCCTTCCTGGTGCACCACCTGGGAGTGTGTATGACTCACCCGGTGCTCAGCCAGCCGTCGTCAGCCAGCACCTCGCTGGTCTTCCCGGGCTCGGCCCAGTAGCCCAGCATGGTGCTGTAGCCGCGCTGCAGCAGCTCGCCGCTGGCGCCCCAGGGGACTGTCTCCTTCCTGGTGCACCACCTGGGAGTGTGTATGACTCACCCGGTGCTCAGCCAGCCGTCGTCAGCCAGCACCTCGCTGGTCTTCCCGGGCTCGGCCCAGTAGCCCAGCATGGTGCTGTAGCCGCGCTGCAGCAGCTCGCCGCTGGCGCCCCAGGGGACTGTCTCCTTCCTGGTGCACCACCTGGGAGTGTGTATGACTCACCCGGTGCTCAGCCAGCCGTCGTCAGCCAGCACCTCGCTGGTCTTCCCGGGCTCGGCCCAGTAGCCCAGCATGGTGCTGTAGCCGCGCTGCAGCAGCTCGCCGCTGGCGCCCCAGGGGACTGTCTCCTTCCTGGTGCACCACCTGGGAGTGTGTATGACTCACCCGGTGCTCAGCCAGCCGTCGTCAGCCAGCACCTCGCTGGTCTTCCCGGGCTCGGCCCAGTAGCCCAGCATGGTGCTGTAGCCGCGCTGCAGCAGCTCGCCGCTGGCGCCCCAGGGGACTGTCTCCTTCCTGGTGCACCACCTGGGAGTGTGTATGACTCACCCGGTGCTCAGCCAGCCGTCGTCAGCCAGCACCTCGCTGGTCTTCCCGGGCTCGGCCCAGTAGCCCAGCATGGTGCTGTAGCCGCGCTGCAGCAGCTCGCCGCTGGCGCCCCAGGGGACTGTCTCCTTCCTGGTGCACCACCTGGGAGTGTGTATGACTCACCCGGTGCTCAGCCAGCCGTCGTCAGCCAGCACCTCGCTGGTCTTCCCGGGCTCGGCCCAGTAGCCCAGCATGGTGCTGTAGCCGCGCTGCAACAGCTCACCACTGGAACCCCACGGAACAGTCTTGCCTTCCTGGTCCACTACCTGAAAAATACAATAGAACCTTGGTAATGTCAACTTGTTGGAATGATAAGCCTTCTGTGCGTTTTAGTGCTACGACGAAAATCAAGCACCTAGAATAGGAGAATAACACCACCTCGACTTTTCCCGTGAATGTTGTAGTTGCAGGTTTCCCAAACCCGTATGGGCAGCGTGAGGAATGTAAGCCAAATTCTCAATTTGCCTCTGATAGATTTATGGAGCTATGGAGAGGGCTATGCTCGGCGTTTCTTTACGAGATCGAATCAGAAATGAGGAAATCCGTAAACGAAATAAAGTCGCTGACATAGCCCAACGGACTAGCAAGCTGAAGTGGTAATGGGCAGGGCACATAGTACGTAGAACTGACGGCCGATGGGACAGCAAGGTTCTGGAATGGAGACCACGTACCGGAAAATGCAGCGTCCACTCACAAGGTGGACCGACGATATCATAAAGGTAGCAGGAAGGCGCTCGAAACAGGCCGCTACTAACTGGGCAACATGGAAAGTATTGGGGCAGGCCTATGTTTAGCAGTGGACGTCCTATGGCTGAGATGATGATGATGTCCTCCTGCTGTGGAGCCTAACGCCCTGATGATAGTCTACTTACCTTGACCTCGAGGTGGTCGTGCAGGAAGCCAACGGTGTCTGCCACCACGTCCACGCCGTCTTCTGGTAGCGACTGGAACAGCCCCGCTGTCGCCTCCGTCAGCCCGTACAGTGTCTGCAAGCATTGACTGAACAGTTCAATACGTCTGATATATGGCAAAACACTGTCTTCAAAGTCCAACGATAGTGAAAGCAGGCCTGTTCATCTCCGCGAGTTTACATCGAAAACAAAACACTCACGATGGCCCACCTACAGGATACTATTCGACAAGGCCTCACATACGAGCGAACATTGACTCACGCACGCGTATTCTTGTGTATGACGGAAGAAAATAAAGAAATGTGCCGTATTTAACTGCCTAAATTATAATAAAAACACAAAATGTACTTTTTTAAGTTGCCTCAAGACACTGAGAGGTAAATAAGTAGTTAATATTATTCATGATAATTCATGCTAAATNGAATGGTCAGCCTTCTGTGCGTTTTAGTGCTACGACGAAAATCAAGCACCTAGAATAGGAGAATAACACCACCTCGACTTTTCCCGTGAATGTTGTAGTTGCAGGTTTCCCAAACCCGTATGGGCAGCGTGAGGAATGTAGGCCAAATTCTCAATTTGCCTCTGATAGATTTATGGAGCTATGGAGAGGGCTATGCTCGGCGTTTCTTTACGAGATCGAATCAGAAATGAGGAAATCCGTAAACGAAATAAAGTCGCTGACATAGCCCAACGGACTAGCAAGCTGAAGTGGTAATGGGCAGGGCACATAGTACGTAGAACTGACGGCCGATGGGACAGCAAGGTTCTGGAATGGAGACCACGTACCGGAAAATGCAGCGTCCACTCACAAGGTGGACCGACGATATCATAAAGGTAGCAGGAAGGCGCTCGAAACAGGCCGCTACTAACTGGGCAACATGGAAAGTATTGGGGCAGGCCTATGTTTAGCAGTGGACGTCCTATGGCTGAGATGATGATGATGTCCTCCTGCTGTGGAGCCTAACGCCCTGATGATAGTCTACTTACCTTGACCTCGAGGTGGTCGTGCAGGAAGCCAACGGTGTCTGCCACCACGTCCACGCCGTCTTCTGGTAGCGACTGGAACAGCCCCGCTGTCGCCTCCGTCAGCCCGTACAGTGTCTGCAAGCATTGACTGAACAGTTCAATACGTCTGATATATGGCAAAACACTGTCTTCAAAGTCCAACGATAGTGAAAGCAGGCCTGTTCATCTCCGCGAGTTTACATCGAAAACAAAACACTCACGATGGCCCACCTACAGGATACTATTCGACAAGGCCTCACATACGAGCGAACATTGACTCACGCACGCGTATTCTTGTGTATGACGGAAGAAAATAAAGAAATGTGCCGTATTTAACTGCCTAAATTATAATAAAAACACAAAATGTACTTTTTTAAGTTGCCTCAAGACACTGAGAGGTAAATAAGTAGTTAATATTATTCATGATAATTCATGCTAAATCATGTATTTCCTCCGCCATTTTCCGCAGTTTGGCACCTCTTCTTTTTTTCAGCCAAATGACGTCCACTGCTGGACAAAGGCCTTCCCCAAGGTTTTCCACACCTCATGTCACATAATTTTACCGAAGTCAGCCGATGACCGATCACTGACGTTTGTCAACAAAATGGTGCTTGACTCTTGAGACAGGCTAAATTACACCATATTGTTAATGACATTGAGCATACATTTTTTTAAATACCTTCGCGAAGTAAAACTTCTGTACGTAGTACTTATTATTATTCTGTGGTGAAAGTTCTTAATGTAAACGTCATAAATATGTGGGTCACTTCAGTGTTTTCTAACGTGGCAAACATCGGAACTGACAATCTATTATAATAATATGTAGTAGCTGCCTCTTGTCACTGTCATATTTGGGATACTTCAGTATTGGACAACTATGAAAAATAGCGGAACGCCAACAAAGTTACCGGGTGGCGCTTAACAGAGTTTATTAAGCCCAGAGGCGACCTTATGTCGAACCATCGAACTGAGAGTTGTCTTAGAGACTATTACGCATAGCTATCACCGACCATTGTAAATAAACATGGTTATAAAAGTGTAAATGCGGTGGCACATCAAGCTGAATACTGTAGCATCTTATTTACTTGTAAAAGGGGCGATTTTGCGACAACAAATTGTGTTCCGTCTACTGCTGGTCACAGGATTTGCACAACCGGTCCTGGGCTGGCATCTAGGTGTTCAGGAAGACTACCTTGACGGAATCCACGTGTAGAAGGTTGTGGATGTCTCGCACGAGCTGCGGGCTGAGCGGCGCGCCGGCTGCTAGCGCTCGGCGCAAGCGCGGCTTGAGCGACGAGCCGCGCATCTGGGGAACCATTCGGAGAACTTATTTATTTATTTATTTTTAATTTAATTTAAATAATTTATTTATTTCATGATATAAAACGGTTTCGTTCGTTCGTTCGTTTCAGCCGAAAGACGTCCACTGCTGGACAAAGGCCTCCCCCAAGGTTCTATGCTCTATGCTAAGGTGCTATGCTCGGAGTTTCCCTGCGTGATCGAATCAGAAATGAGGAGATCCGTAGGAGAATCAGAGTGACTGACATGGTCCGCAGAATCGCTAAAATCAAGTGGCAGTGGGCGGGGCACATAGCTCGTAGAGCTGATGGCCGCTGGGGCAGGAAAGTTCTTGAGTGGCGACCACGAGCCGGAAGACGTAGCGTGGGTAGGCATCCCACTAGGTGGACCGACGATCTGGTGAAGGTCGCGGGAGGTGCCTGGATGCGAGCGGCGTAGGATCGGTCTTCATGGAAATCCTTGGGGGAGGCCTTAGTCCAGCAGTGGACGTTTTTCGGCTGAAACGACGACGACGACGACGAACTTCGGGGAATGTACCTACGAAGAAATTAAATTACCTAATTCTGTGTGACGATAGGAATGTGGCTGAAGGGATTATAAGTTTGTAAAAAATTCAACATCATTTATGTAAGTACCTGAGATAGCATGTCCACAAACATCGTTGGCGTTCCAGTAATAATTGAACACCTGAAAAGATAATAATACATATACATGAGTATTACTCGTTAATTTTATTGTTAAAAGTCATACAGAAGTATAGAAGTACTATTGGCAACAGTGTTAACTACCCATTGCGGGTCATGTCGTTTCGTTCTATCGCAAAGAATCACCATTTGATGAGAGCAAGAGCAAAAACGGAAATGGAAGGCAAGCTTAATGCCATAAGTCATTCTCTACCAGCTGACCTTGAGAAAAACAGAGATATTGAGTAGGCGGTGCTAAAATGGTTGATGGATGATGACGACTCACTGGTGGTCGTGAAGCGCTTGAAGCGCGGCGCGCGCGTCGTACAGCGGCGCTGGCAGCGTGAGCGTGGCGCCGTGCCGCCAGCCGCCCAGCAGCGTGACGACCGAGCCCAGCGCGTGGAAGATGACGCCTGAGCATATTTATTGACTCACTGGTGGTCGTGCAGCGCTTGAAGCGTGATCACCGAGCCCAGCGCGTGGAAGATGGCCGCCTGGACATATTTATTGACTCACAGGTGGTCGTGCAGCGCTTGAAGCGTGATCACCGAGCCCAGCGCGTGGAAGATGGCCGCCTGGACATATTTATTGACTCACTGGTGGTCGTGCAGCGCTTGAAGCGTGATCACCGAGCCCAGCGCGTGGAAGATGGCCGCCTGGACATATTTATTGACTCACTGGTGGTCGTGCAGCGCTTGAAGCGCGGCGCGCGCGTCGTACAGCGGCGCTGGCAGCGTGAGCGTGGCGCCGTGCCGCCAGCCGCCCAGCAGCGTGACCACCGAGCCCAGCGCGTGGAAAANCCAGCCGCCCAGCAGCGTGACGACCGAGCCCAGCGCGTGGAAAATGGGCGCCTGCGCACGCAACAATGTTCTTTTAATCATTATCAACACAAAAATAGTTTATAAATGGGCTACCAAACACAAAAATTTCCTGAGATTAGCGCGTTCAACCAAACAAATCTTCAACTTTATAATATTGAGTATAGATTTTGTCTACAATACCGGAGACAAACCCTAGAGAGGGTTTAATTTACCAGAGACAGTTAAAGAACCCTCAAACAATCATACTCTTTCATTATTAATATCAAATAAATACTAAAATAAAGCTAGAATAAATGGGTCGCATAGATATTATAATTTGCCATAAAACGAAATTTAAATCAAATAAGATTTAAAGTCAACTAGCAGACACAATTAAAGACAGTTTTAGTGAATGACACAACAGTTACTTATTTAGTCACTAGCTTTCCGCCTGCGACTTCGCCCGCGTGGAATTTTGTCTGTCACAGAAAAATTTTATCGCGCGCGTCCGTTTCAAAAACCGGGATAAAAACTATCCTATATCCTTTCCCGGGACACAAACTATCTATATGAAAATTTTTATCAAAATCGGTTCAGTGGTTTAGGCGTGAAAGAGAGACAGACAGACAGAGTTACTTTCGCATTTATAATATTAGTATAGATAGAATAGATATAGATTCACCTGCACGCAGATGTCCTGATGGCCGTCGTGGTAGCCGAGCCGCTTGCCCACGAAGTAAGTGTTATTGACCACGCCCCGCTGCGAGTCCAGCCCCGCTTTGGGGTTGCCTGGGAAGAAAAAAGTAGCTTTTTATGCCTACATACCGGATTGACAGAGGCTTTACACTACTCCACATAATATTCTTTATTGATAGGCATGTACAGTACCCGGCAATAAATATTGCACATCGACCTTTGGAAAGAGAATCGGTTAATTTCGGCTTGTAGAGCGTTATCTCTGTCGCACACTACATATACGATTGACAAAACGTCATTGACAAAACATTAATCAATGAAAATATTGTCCGAACTCTTAGTATTTCTCTTCGACAAATATTTTAACACATTGTGAACCACTTTTCTTTCACGACTATAAAAAGTTTTTAGCAATTTAATTCACAAAATCAATTGCACACATTTAAAATAAAGTTTGTTTACACTTTGACAAAACGTCATTGTCAGTCGTTGTTCAAGTGCGACAGTGATAACGCTCTACGAAACCGAGATTAGCAGATTGTCTCTTTCTAAAGATCGATGTGCAATATGTATCGCCGGGTATTGTAGGCAATTTTTAGATACTTATACTTGTCCCAATAATAGCTTGCATCATCAATGCACTGCTGGACTGATAAGTAATTTTAATAATTATTAAGCATGCAACTGAATCAGTCAGTCATAATATAACGCTCTAAACTTAAATGCACCGTTATCTACCGCGATCTCCTTTAAAGAATTTGTTGTCCCCAATTATCGTCTTATCAGAAGGAAAGCAAATAGGTAGTTTTCGTAAACTAAAATTATCAGATACGTATTTCTTATCAGATAAGGTTTGTATTTATTTAAATTGTGTACTTTGCCCTTTGCTCTTTGCCGAGGTGACCTTCAATCAGTCAATAGACAGATATCCGATACAGAAACGATTAAAAAATCTTAGCAGATCTGAAACACTCTTCTCCCTGGACAAGATTGAGTTACTCTCGCAACTCTAAGGCTGAGTTGCACCACCTTACTTTAACTTTGAGAAACGTTACAAAATCTGTCAAACTCCATACAAAAAGAACCGGTTATTGTTATTATTACGGTTAAAATAAGGTGGTGCAACTCAGCCTAAATGTTCACCTACCTGTGGTTCCCGATGTGAAATGAATTATGGAGCCGTCTTCAGGTTTGACCTCGCTCGCGTATTTGGACGCATCTTGGTTCGCGTATTCTTCCACCAGCGACTCGAAGTTGAACGCCCCACTGGATTATAATATTAATAACTACATTCATAAAACTGAATACTTATTGTTATATTACTAGGTTCGAATACTAAAACTCTGGAAAATTTAATTTGAAACCAAAGTTCGCCTGTTAAATAATCGCGTCACAAAAGAAAAAAGTTTTTCCTTTTAACTGAGAAGAAATGAAAACACTAGCATTGGTTTTATGATGTAATCTTCAGATAAACGGCGATTGAAATGGAAAAGCATCGTATTAATGAGGGAGAATTATGTAGGTACAGCAAATGCAATTATCTTGTAAGAATAATAACATATTCCGACACGCAAACATGAATGCAAGATTTTCTATAACATTTTCCTAAACGCAATAAACGAGGTAAAACAATAAATAAAGTCCTATAAAGTCTAGCAGTGTAAAGTATTTCTATCCACTTACTCAAACTTCTCTTTCCCCGCAGCTATGACGGAGATGAGGTCGGGGAATTCGTCTGAAGACAGGCGACCAGGCTTGGAGTTCTGCAGCTGCGGGATGAGCTGGTTCAGGGTGGTGTGGTAGCGCCGGTTGGGCAGCTGCTCGCTTACCACGAGGCTCTTCACACCCACCTTCTTTAGGCAGTAGCTTAACTCTGATTTTTCGTATGCGGGATTGATTAATGCCTGGAAATATTAGGTATTTAGGTAGCGTCAGAGTGTCCTAGAAATATGATTGATTTAGCAAAAACATCGGTGTAAATTGAAATTGAAATTGAAAAAAAATTGTCAGACCGGGGTCCATAATCGTGTTAGTAACAATTTTCACTTAGCCTATGATAGTAAGATACAAATAATAATTATAAAGCCGCTTACATAGCACTGGAGACGTGCAAGCTAAGCCAGCGCCCCATGTAAAGATACATGAAAAATTTGGAAATTTAAGTTACATGGAAATTCCTGACAGAGCGAAAGACGACTCGTCCCGTGAATGCCTTATGAGGCCACTAAGGGAGAAAGAAGTGAACATTAAGCCTCTCCCAACCCACTCAGCTAACGTGAAGAGTTAGGCTAAATCTCCATTAGCATACAATCAGATGTACAGCCTTCAAGTCACTCATAAGCACCTTTTCATCGTCTTAGCTGTTGGACACAACCAAGACGTCCTCCGCTGTCATCGTCTCTACACTGTGGGACCTATTATGGGGGTTGGGGTGTCAACAACCAAGATAAATCCTCCGTGGTCATTCCACTCTACACGGTAGGACCTATATTTGGGAGGTGAGGGGTTCTGAGTAGGAGAACCAGAGTGACTGACATAGCCGCAGAATCGCTAAAATCAAGTGGCAGTGGGCGGGGCACATAGCTCGGAGAGCTGATGGCCGCTGGGGCAGAAAAGTTCTTGAGTGGCGACCACGAGCCGAAGGACGTAGCGTGGGCAGGCCTCCCACTAGGTGGACCGACGATCTGGTGAAGGTCGCGGGAGGTGCCTGTATGCGAGCGGCGCAGGACCGGACTTTGTGGAAATCCTTGGGGGAGGCCTTTGTCCAGCAGTGGACGTCTTTCGGCTGAAACGAACGAGGGGTTCTGAAAGGGTACTCACAGCGATGAGACCGGCGCGCGCGGCTGCCAAGATGGCCACGACACAGGCGGCGCAGTTGTGCGCCCACACGCCCAGCCGGTCACCGCGCTGCAGACCCTGCGCACGCAGCGCACACGCTAATGCATCCGCCTGTAATAGGTACATATTGTTAATTGTGTAAAATCTAAAACGTTAAAATAGCGGTATCGTTATAGCCAATGAGCTGCTGTCATAGTGACATTGACATAATGTCAATGTCACACGAGAATCAAACGTCAGAATGGAGGGACGCGCGGAGACGACTCCGCGCGCTTTTGCTAAGTAATGAATTGAATTTGTAATAAGGCAATATAATGTGAAAGTTAAGTATCCAGTGTTTTATTTATGAGAATAGATCTACCGGCCTTTAATAATATCAACCATTATTAGGCAACGTTTCCACCAGATAAACAGAGAAACCGGCAGACAGTGGTGACTTTGTTGCGGCGCTTCTTCTCAGCACTTGCTGAAAGTTTGTCTCGAAGCGCTGGTAGGGCAAAAAATAATGAGACATGTATAGACTCCTTAAGAGCATTTGACGATTTGTAAGTACTAATCCCATCAAAAACAATACTTGTCAAAAAAACCAAGTCTCGCAACTCAGTTGTTCTACGGTAAAAAGTTGTGTGATCCATGTAATACCAAGTCCAGGCCAGGAAATCTTTAACGTTTTACATAAATTATTGACTTGGCCATCGCACTAAATAATTTAATTTACACGTGTTTTCATGCGATGGCCAAGTCAATATATTTATGTAAAACGTTAAAGATTTCCTGGCCTNAAACAGTTTTATAGCATGGGATTCTTTGGGTTCTCGCCTTCACTGCTTTTAACGCTACTACTACTAGGTCTCCCTATCCGTGAGAGGGCAACTACTTTTATTTTTGATTTTTTACACTTAAAACTTCATTGTACCTATTGTTCACGCAGAACTAATTAAAGAAATACATTATTTAGTTTAGAGAATTTATTGTACTTTAGACAATTACATTACATTGAAATTGGAGTTGCGCTACCATCGTTCAATTAGATGGTTTCCAACATGGCAAAAATCGGAACCAGCGATCCGGTATTGACGGTGGCGCCCCACTGTCAATGTCATGGATAGGACACAGTATTTTGGAACTATAGGCGAGAGGGGGATACAGTGAATGGAAGAGTGAACGCGCACGCAGACCGAATGAGATCGACCGATAGTGATGTGTAGCTGTCTGTCATAGACACCTATCATTTAATGAAAAGATGAACTAAAATTTTTCNAGATCCAGTTAATTCCGTAACCTAATATTGGTACCGTTGGTTAGAGCTCGTGAAGCACTTTCAGGATCAGTAACCTGTTTTTCGATATCTTGTATAGTTTAGAAATAATCGAATGAGATCACTTATCGTTTCCATCCTGTAGATATAGATTCACCTGCACGCAGATGTCCTGATGGCCGTCGTGGTAGCCGAGCCGCTTGCCCACGAAGTACGTGTTGTTGACCACGCCCCGCTGCGAGTCCAGCCCCGCTTTGGGGTTGCCTGGGAAGAAAAAAGTAGCTTTTTATGCCTACATACCGGATTGACAGAGGATTTACACTACTCCACATAATATTCTTTATTGATAGGCATGTACAGTACCCGGCAATAAATATTGCACATCGACCTTTGGAAAGAGAATCGGTTAATTTCGGCTTGTAGAGCGTTATCTCTGTCGCACACTACATATGTATACGATTGACAAAACGTCATTGACAAAACATTAATCAATGAATATATTGTCCGAACTCTTAGTATTTCTCTTCGACAAATATTTTAACACATTGTGAACCACTTTTCTTTCACGACTATAAAAAGTTTTTAGCAATTTAATTCACAAAATCAATTGCACACATTTAAAATAAAGTTTGTTTACACTTTGACAAAACGTCATTGTCAGTCGTTGTTCAAGTACGACAGTGATAACGCTCTACGAAACCGAAATTAGCAGATTGTCTCTTTCTAAAGATCGATGTGCAATATGTATCGCCGGGTATTGTAGGCAATTTGTAGATACTTATACTTGTCCCAATAATAGCTTGCATCATCAATGCACTGCTGGACAGATAAGTAATTTTAATAATTATTAAGCATGCAACTGAATCAGTCAGTCATAATATAACGCTCTAAACTTAATGCACCGTTATCTACCGCGATCTCCTTTAAAGAATTTGTTGGCCCCAAAGATCGCTTTATCAAAAGGAAAACAAATTTTATAGGTAATTTTCGTAAACTAATCTTTGGACAATTTCTTTGGACAATTTCACACAGCGCCAGCTAGCCCCAAAGTAAGCAACTTAATGCTTGTGTTATGGGTATACTAAAATTATCAGATACGTATTTCTTATCAGATAGGGTTTGTATTTATTTAAATTGTGTACTTTGCCCTTTGCCGAGGTGACCTTCAATAAGTCAATAGACAGATATCAGATACAGAAACGATCGAAATATCTTAGCAGATCTGAAACACTCTTTTTCCTGGACAAGATTGAGTTACTCTCGCAACTCTAAGGCTGAGTTGCACCATCTTACTTTAACTTTGAGAAACGTCAAAAATCTGTCAAACTCCATACAAAAAGAACCGGTTATTGTTATTATTACGGTTAAAATAAGGTGGTGCAACTCAGCCTAAATGTTCACCTACCTGTGGTTCCCGATGTGAAATGAATTATGGAGCCGTCTTCAGGTTTGACCTCGCTCGCGTATTTGGACGCATCTTGGTTCGCGTACTCTTCCACAAGCGACTCGAAGTTAAAAGCCCCACTGGAATATAATATTAATAACTACATTCATAAAACTGAATACTTATTTTTATATCACTAGGTTCGAATACTAAAACTCTGGAAAATTTAATTTGAAACCAAAGTTCGCCTGTTAAATAATCGCGTCAAAAAAGGAAAAAGTGTTTTCTTTTAACTGAGATGAAATGAAAACACTAGCATTGATTTTATGATGTAATCTACAGATAAACGGCGATTGAAATGGAAAAGCATAGTATTAATTGAGGGAGAATTATGTAGGTACAGCAAATACAATAAATTAATCTTGTAAGAATAATAAGTATAATAACATATCCGACACGCAAACGTGAATGCAAGACTTCCTATAAGATTTTCCTAAACGCAGTAAACGAGGTAAAACATTAAAAAAGTCTGTACAAAATCCAGCAGTGTAAAGTATTTCCATCCACTTACTCCAACTTCTCTTTCCCCGCTGCTATGACGGAGACGAGCTCGGGGAATTCGTTTGAAGACAGGCGACCAGGCTTGGAGTTCTGCAGCAGCGGGATGAGTTGGTTCAGGGTGGTGTGGTACCGCCGGTTGGGAAGCTGCTCGCTTACCACGAGGCTCTTCACACCCACCTTCTTTAGGCAGTAGCTTAACTCGGATTTTTCGTACGCGGGATTGATTAATACCTGGAAATGTTAGGTATTTAGATAGCGTCAGAGTCTCCTAGAAATATGATTGAGCAAAAACATCGGTGTAAATTGAAATTGAAAAAAAATATTGTCAGACCGGGGTCCATAATCGTGTTAGTAACAATTTTCACTTAGCCTATGATAGTAAGATACAAATAATGATTATAAAGCCGCTTACACAGCACTGGAGACGTGCAAGCTAAGCCAGCGCCCCATGTAAAGATACATGAAAAATGTGGAAATAGAAGTTCCATGGAAATTCCTGACTGGACCTGGTCATTCCACTCTACACGGTAGGACCTATATTTGGGAGGTGAGGGGTTCTGAGTAGGAGAACCAGAGTGACTGACATAGCCGCAGAATCGCTAAAATCAAGTGGCAGTGGGCGACGACATAGCTCGGAGAGCTGATGGCCGCTGGGGCAGAAAAGTTCTTGAGTGGCGACCACGAGCCGAAGGACGTAGCGTGGGCAGGCCTCCCACTAGGTGGACCGACGATCTGGTGAAGGTCGCGGGAGGTGCCTGGATGCGAGCGGCGCAGGATCGGACTTTGTGGAAATCCTTGGGGGAGGCCTTTGTCCAGCAGTGGACGTCTTTCGGCTGAAACGAACGAGGGGTTCTGAAAGGGTACTCACAGCTATGAGACCGGCGCGCGCGGCTGCCATGATGGCCACGACGCAGGCGGCGCAGTTGTGCGCCCACACGCCCAGACGGTCACCCCGCTGCAAGCCCTGCATACGCAGCGCACACGCTAATGCATCCGCCTGTAATAATCACGGGTAATAATAATAGGTTTCTTTGCGTGATCGAATCAGAAATGAGGAGATCCGTACACGAACCAAAGTCGCTGACATAGCCCGACGGATTAGCAAGCTGAAGTGGCAATGGGCAGGGCAAATAGTACGCAGAACTGACGGCCGATGGGGCAGAAAGGTTCTGGAATGGAAGCCGCGTACCGGAAAACGCAGCGTGCGACGTCAAATAGCAAATGTTATGATAGGGATAGAGACATGCGATTTTTGGTTTTACAAAGATAATACGATAGAGAATAATAAAAAGTAATAAAAACTACCGGTTATAGGGGCATTTTTGGAGAAATTTATCAAATAACCAAAAAAACACGAATTTTAAAGCAGATTTTTTTCGAAAAGTATCATTTTTTATTATTTGTTGGCTTTTTTTGTGTATTTTATGTATTTTTTTAGTATTGCCTTTTATTTAGCATTATAACTGTTTTTATTTCATCAGGATATACCGCTTAGTTTAAAAGTTATTACGTTTTCTTCACAATAAGTAATTGGAAGAAAAAAAATTCTATAAAAAATGAAAAAAAAATCTCAAAAAAATTTTGACCTCTTTTTTTTTTTTTTTTTTGTTGATAAAAATAGGTCTAGTTTCGTCTATTTTCATATGTACACTTTAACGTGACTCACACTGTATATCCACGGCTCGCTCGTAAATACAGCCAGCGTCACGGTGACGGGGCCAAGTGTACAACAAACTGAAAACGATTTCCGTCACTTCTGAACTACCTACGCCTTATAGTGTTAACAAAGCTGATTTTATGTCTATTTCTTAAGCTCTTGTATTTATGTTACCTACCTATGTACAGTCGACAGCACGTCAACATAAACACTGTGGTATCTTACGTAGTTGCGATGAGGGGCGGCTTTGCAACGAAAATGTATAGTCTGATGTGCTTTCTGCTAAGCTAAGCTATAAGATCNACATCAGTGTGGAGCAGAATCAGCGCAATAAAAAAATAGCGCAATATTTTGTTGCAATTTCTTACAAAACTTGCGCGAAAAAAGCAAATCTAGTATGAAAATCATCAAACTTCTAATACTCGTAACTCAGTTCAGACTGAGTTAAGAGGTATACATGTTTTAGTAAGTTTGGTTTATTACACTACATATTTTGTAATCAAAAAACAAGGTTTGGTCGATGGCCGCGCGAAAAAAAAAAGACGCCACCTTCCATACAAAATCTGGCATTGCCATTTGTTGGTGATCATAGGTCTTAGCAGATTATCTCCTAGTGGAAAATTACAGACTTCTAAACTGAAACTTTCTCGATCAATGATATTCGTGACAATACCCTGTATTGTTCAAAGCTCCCTTGTTTATTGTGTTGGTGTGCCACATATAAGTATGAGTAAATTGAATGCTACGAAGATACTACGATTTTTACGTCTCTACCGACATATATTTTCCCGTAACTATATTAAAGGTTCTTCGACCTTTATTTTCATATTCTAAAAGTGCATATAATTTATTGGACTTATGGACATCCATTTGTTTTAATTAACGATAAGGTGGTATTCATGATTTGTTATTTACATCTATTACTTTAACACCCATTATAATTGCATATTCTATGCAAATAAATAATTATTACGGAACAATACAATATTTTATCTGTGCCAATTTGTATGAGATCGTCGTTAATATCAATATCCATACATCCACAGCTACATACAGGGCATAATCACTCGTAAACACAACTTCACGGTGACGGGGCAAAGTGTACAACAAACTTGGAGTAAAAACGATTTCCATCACTTTTGAATGTCATAAGGAAAGCTACCTATGTGTAGGGATATTTTTGGCATTCTACAGACAACAGACTTTAAATATACATATGTAGCTTGCCCTACCACTGTCATCTTAGAATTTGTCTAAAGAATCGGACCTATGATATGATACCAAATCGGTGTTATGAGCGCATTTCAATGCTGTTCAGTGTTCATACTGATTAACAGCCTGATCCAACTATAGCCCGACTAAGTCTTGTCTGCGGGGTGTCTTAAAAGTACCGATGCATTAAGTTGTTGACTCCAGCTCCTTACCTGCTTGAGCAGTTGCTCATAGGTGAGGGCGGCGCCTTCGTGCACAGAGCGGAGCGCCAGCCGCGTAGGGTGCTTGTTGACGGTCTCCAGGAACGCCTGACTGATGGTAGCTTGCTGTAGGGGCTCGCTGCCGATGTGCTTCATGTAGCTCTCGGTGGGAGACGCCTGGATCAGGCTCAACCATCTGGAAGAGATTAATTAGGAAGGGATTAAGGAACACCAAATGAGAGGAGGACAAACGGCTGCCCAAAAATACGATCGTAGTTTTATAATCCTTATTGATAACTACCTATCTCAATAACCACTAAGTAATCACTAAATAAGTAACACAATTTATCTCATATTTAACTCTCTCTCTCTCATATTTACCCTAATTTAAGATTAAACCCTAGTGGGAAACATGGAGTGGTGAGGAAGTTAGAGAGTTATTGGACTGAACTATAACAAAGACAGTTGATTCCTTGCTTCGGAGGGCAAGGTAAATACATGACATACATAAGTACACCGGTAATTATATGGAAAACACATACAGTAACGCACTTCTCTAGGTGTAAAACATATGAATAGAATCGAATGTTTTTAATTAAGTAATTAAGCACCCGAAACAAAATAATACCCATTCAAATTCATATTTGCACTTTAATTCCAGGTGATTTTTTACAATATTAACCTCAAATTACTAGATTTGTTGATGTTTTTCGTCACAAGAAGCACGCTTTTCCTCAACATTGTGCTGCCGTACGCGTGCGCGCACGACCGATGCGCGAGGCCGACTGGCGGGCACTCGACTGATAACCGGTTGTAAACATTATCACACAAACACACAGCTATCTGTAGTGACAACAAAATAGCCTAGAGAAAGATAAGTGAGAGAATTTTGTTATGACAAAGTGGTTTTGTTCGTTCGTTCGTTTCAGCCGAAAGACGTCCACTGGTGGACAAAGGCCTCCCCCAACGCTTATATCGTTTTGTATCGCAAGATTCACTAGAATATCAATTGGAGGGAACATTGTCATCATCATCATCATTTCAGCCACAGGACGTCCACTGCTGAACATGGCCTCCCCCAATGATTTCCACATCGGTTAGTAGCGGCCTGCATCCAACGCCTTCCTGCTACCTTTACGAGGTCGTTTACATTACCAGTAACTAGCTTTTTCTCTCAGCTTTGCCCGCATGTAATTCAGTTTACGGTTACCACAGAAAGATTGACTTAGGTACTTGACTATCGTTGTAATTTGGCCAATTAACTCATTATCGTTACTCAATTAGTTGTATTGCATCATATTCTGTCGTATCATACGTGAAATTTCTTAATAACAACTTACATGATATTTTAAAGGCAATACCACGGTAATATTATCATACAGTATTGTAACTTCATATAAACGGACGAAACGCGAGCTTTCCTTCGAAATTCAAATCTCGGTATGCGCTCGACATGCAAAAGTCGGGGGTGTCGCGAATGTGCAATCGGACGATGTTTTGTTTTTTAAACAGTAAGCGCTCTTTTTTTATAAAAGAATTATAAGTACCTATTTATACAGGGTGTCAGGTAAATGGGTTTATAAGCCAACACTAGACCATGTTAACATACCTATATGGTTATGTCAGTGATATCATAATTTTATTTTTTATAATTTTCATACAAAATAAAATTTATAAAATCAGATTTGTATGAAAATTAAAATTATTAAAATAATGATATCAATTTTCTGACTTCATCATACCATTTATATACCAAGGGCTAGTGTCGGCTTATAAACCCATTTACCTAAACACCCTGTATAATAATTGATAATACGCCTAAGTCGAGACGCATAAATTTTAAGGTCGTAAATTTATAAGATTTGTTACTAAATCTTAACACAAATTTATATTATTTCCATTAAATCTACTAATCACTAAACAACATGCATTTTTATCCTATTTCATTCACAAAGTATTTTGTTAGCAAAATAAAATAAAAATTACAATCACAAAATACATTCACAATACTAGATAAAAATTCAAAGTAGGCAGATGTAATGAAAATAGGGCCTACAAGTGGGCAGCCCTATCGCATTTTGTCATACGGTGACGTTCCGCGCGGCTGTTGACATTTATTTCAAAAATATGGCAGAGTTGGAATACTGTATAGATATTATTACCGTGGCAATACCTACTTTAATTTAGGTAGACTCCAAGTATAGCTTGCTGCCTACAAGCAACCGACTTTGACATTGATATAAATAAATATGCAACGCAAGCATTAGCAGAACTAATTTTATCTTAGATAAATAAATAAAGCAATAAAGATATTATGATATGATATGATATCTCCATTATCGAAGTACAATATTATGTACCTATTACTAAAAATTTTATCTTAATTGTCGATGTTTCTTATCATTATTGCATAAAGTGAATGGTTGTTATATTACGATAAGAACAACCTCTGCTTAGTTTCAGGACTGGCTAATTGTTTAATTTTTTTCATAAATAATTTGTGTGGTATACAGAACAAGATTTATTCGTAAGCTTAACTATAAGTGCAACTTTACACTGGTTTTACGACACCGTAAACTGACCGTTCATTTGTTTACGGCCGTCAACACCCACAAACGTCGGTAACGAGCTCTTCGAATGTTTGTTGAGGGGCATTTAGTCTGCCTCTGAACGCTTCCGATTTTCAACGGTCCAGAGCGGATGGTTATTTACACCAGATTCTATAGACCATGGTAAATCCCCAGCAGCCAATAACTTTATTCACATGTATTTTATGGTCAAGAAATGGATTAATTGTTATTATATTATTTGACATTTCAGCGTTTCTTTCAGGGAGAAACCCTTCTCTAACACCGTACCTACTCGTAAACCATTTATCAGCTTGATCTGTTGAAGTTGTCATGCACTGTACCTATAGCGTCTTACATTAGGAAATAGGAATATACCATCGCTTGCCGATGTGTACTTAGTTCGAACACTTCGAGCATTATAGTGTGGGCTTCCTGAAGACAAGAGCAAACACGCTGTGACTAGGCAGCACAGTGTTTTATTTTACCATAGAAGCTGTCCGCTTCTAAGGCAAAATAAAAGACTGTGGGCAGGTACCTCGACTCAGATTGCGGTCAAACTAAAAAAGTGGTTACCGCAAATAACCGCCCAGTCTTACCTATCGAGTGCAAACTTGGCGGCGCACTGTGGCAGACGAGGCGAAGAAGACCGGCAAGACTTGGAGCGAGATCAAGCACATAGCTCAAGACCGAACGCGATGGAGGACTGTTGTGGACGCCCTCTGCCCCATCTAGGGGACATAGGACCATAAGTCAAGTAAGTCAAATCTTACCTATCAATCACGGGGTGATTCACCAGCTACTCAGTAATAGCCATAACTGCTGTGATAGTGTAGGTCATGTCTTGCACGGCCGGAGCACGGTCAAGCCTTTTGTTCTCCGGTACCGCCGGATCGAGGCCGCCGCGCCCGCCCGCCGGAAGTCGCGTGCGCCCCGCATGCGGCCTAGCGCGACCAGAACAGCTAAGGGCGCCGTTAACTGCGCAGAAACAAAACGCAGTAAAAACAAGCACTAATATAATACTTTTTCTTTCATCAAGCCTAGACTAAACTGTTTGTAAACCTATTACAAATAATTAAATAAATAAAGAGCTTTACCCTGCCAAATCCTTTGCAATAAGTTTACTGTGGGCGGAATCTCCTATCGATCTCAATGTCCCCGACTTTGTACAATACGAGTAGTAGAGTGTTGAGAGGATCTAGCATATTGGATGCGGGCTAGTGCCAACCGGTCAATCCGAAAATCATTATTGGAGGAGGACTATGTTCAATTGACGTCCTGTGGCTGAAATGGTGATTGTGTGGACAGGCAACTTCAAGGCAAACTTACCTCTGTGGAAGCGTAATTCGACTCATCATTTCTTAGCGCCCTGAAAAAATTAAACTCTACCGTTTGTAGAATCAAAATGCTAAGAACATTTTTCTCAAAAAAAAATTACATCTATAGACGTGAACTAACTGGAGTTTCTGTTACATTCAGGCTGTGCACTAGGCGCCCCCTCCCCTGCCCTCTAGTGACGAAACATGCAAATTCCCCGACCTCCTAAGGCCACGATATAGATCGTGGTGGAAAATGCGTTGGGAACGAGTTTTCCGCCTTCCAATTTTCTGCTAACAAGGTCGGGGGGTGAAGGATCGAGGCTGCTGCTCCTGGCCGCCGACCATTCAGCCCCCTTTCCGGGGTTTCAGGCATAACAATTACAGAATAATTACGTGTTTTCCTAGCAGTTAACAAATCTTTGGATTTTTCACAATTTAGAATTTAAAGAATAAAAATTTAATTCTTGATTATTGAAAGTTGCACGATGCACGTAACGGGTGCACGTTTCAGGCATGTCTCAACCAAGTCTTCTTAAGACCAAGTGGTGCTATAGAGATAATATTAAAAAATACATTTTATTAGATTAGCTACTGAAAGAATTTTTACGATTTACCCAAAGAGGAAGTTGTATTTGAAAAGCTTAACGTCTACAGCGTCATGCAAAGCATTTGAGGCACTTAAGCATCTCGTAGCAATCAATCTGAATAAATTCCTAAATCCTGCAGTGGAATAAATTCTACAACATGCCTACCAGCGTGGTAGGCAGCCTACCACCTACCTACCTACCGTAGGCTATATTGCTCTCCTCGTGCCTGCAAAGCACAGGCATTCCTTCCAAAATAACAACATATAGAAATGAGAGCGACTTTTCGTTCCACGAGCGAGACATTAGCATTAAGTACAAATATGTAATCGCAATGTGTGTCGGTTCGGTTCGTTCGCGACTGACGTTGATTTAGTGCCCTCAGCCCTGCCGGTGTTTGCTCAAGGAGAACTTGAAACGCTTTCTTTAATTACTAAACTATACTTAATCAAAAAAATATTCAAACACATTTGCACTCCTAAAGGCAAACTTTCTTGTGTTGAATTAAGCTTTGATACAGTAATCGTTTTTTTTTATGTAGCCAAGGCTCTACTTATGTTTTTTCATATTTTTTATTTCACCCCAAATCCACAAAATATGACACAAATATCTTAAATACTCAAGTAAAAAAAGCACGTGAGCAAGCATAAGATTAATGGCAAGCCACTCGTTAAGTTTGTAATTAAAAGTCATGGCGATACCGCGTAAAAAATGGGGCGGAAAGATAAGCCGCGGCATTCGCCTTGGAAGCTTTTTAAAAACCAAATTTTATGCTGAACTATAATAACGGGAGGCTTCGTCCCGAAACATGAAAAATAGGTCAATGCATGAGACATTGTGAGACATCGCTTTGGAAGTTTGTTTATAAATCCAGCCCGCGCAGCGCCGCGCGGTTATTTACTCCAGGCATGCAAGAAGTCGGCTCCGGTACGCAGCGCGCCGCAGTCATGCCTCGGCCGCCCACCGCCTTGCTCGCAGTAATGTGCTCGCGGCCGTGAAGTGCTCAGTGTTCCCATGGATTGACGTATGACGTGACGATGTCACAGGCCCCCGGCGGCAAAAAGGGCGGAAAGGGCCCGCCGAAGAAGACCAATGTGGACGAGGACAAGAACGCGCCGGCTAAGGCGACGGAGGAGAAGGATGAGACGTCTTCTAATAATGGAGACAAGAAGGAGGCCAAGGATGCGCCCAACGGCGGCGAGAGCGTGGCCAAGCCGCCCAGCGCCGGGGTCAACATCCGAGAGGTGGCGACCAAGATCCTGACACTGGCGCAGAAGGGCGAGTGGCCGGCCGTGGAGCAGACCCTCAAGGTGCTGGAGAAGCTGGTGGCGGCAGGCGGCGAAGACGCCGTCACCGTGCCCATGGCCGGCATACTCGATCCGGTAATTATGGCCCTAGTTTCATACATCATCATGCGGTGCGTGAAACATTTCAGAATACTTCTTCTCCCCTCAATAGTTGAAATCTAAACTGCTATAAAACAGATGTGACTTCATATTTAGGGCCAATAGTCAGTATTATCTCAATAACACAATTGATGTTTTGATATATTTTCTGTACAAAGGCATTTGTATTTAAGTATCTATGACAAGAGCAGTTATTATGCTCTCGCTCAATTGATTAAGGCACCAGTCATTATGTCATAAACTCGTATTATTGTAGTACTGAAAATTCTGCCCGACTATTTATTTTCCAACAAATAAACACCCAACATCCGAGCTGGAAAACACACTTTTGTCATTGTGCGAGATCATCAAATACACGACTGTAAAAATATTGATCTCAACGATTTCAGGATTCTCTTCAGTATTTTTCTTCACACACTCTATGAAATAGTTAATTAAGTTTAATAAAAAGAGAGGTCGTACCTTGAGTTATTCTGAACGTGGCCGGGCTGTCGTGTAACCTACTTGTTCGTTACGTACATACGTAATTATGGGACTCATTAGATCTTAACAATCCGATGGAAACGGCCACGCGCGTTTTACTGTTACTGAAAATATTTTTGTGATTTTGTTGCTCTACTCTTGTTTATATGCAATTACGTGGTGCAATAAAGGGGGCGAATTGAGTAATCACTTTAAAATATAGAGATTTATCTTATCGAAATCATAATCAATCTAAATCATTTTATTGATGATACAAATTATGGACTTCAGGGTCTGTTTGCACAGTCTAGGATTTTCCAATGTACACTGATAGTGGACCGACTGTTAATGACTCTCTCCCAGTAATGCTGCTGCTGCTTGATAAAACAAACAATCCAAGCTAAGCATGCTGCACTCACTATACTCGAGGAGGAGGAGGATGGAGGAGGTCCAGACTCCAGAACTAGAATTATCTAGTTCATAGCATTAGCTATACTTCTTTTCTTTTCGTGTCGACAACAAACCTACACAGTGTCAGCCCAAAATGCTATGCAATTTCTTGCCTTTTCTTAATATTTGTATTTAGCAACATACAAAAACATTTTCCAAGCAAAAAAGGGTACCTAAGTATAATCTTCATAGATTATTATCATTTAATGGTACCTAGTGAGTTTTTGCGACATGCATTAAGGTTAATTTATTCATGTTTATAATTAACCTTGACTCCTTAATTAACACTATAGAAGCTCTAGATAAGAATATTATTATGAAATATTAAATAAAACATTACTTAAAATTTTCTTTTAAAAAAAATCGAAAAATATATGAATGAGGAATGCAAGAGTTATAAAAAAGTGCATAACAACAATAATATTAATTAAATAAACAGGGAAATACTTAAAGCTCGTAGTAATTATTTATTTAGGTTAAATAGGAAGTAACTAAACGAATGATGAGTATTTTAAGTACATGCCATAGTTATGGGGAGCGAGACATGTGGGACTTTATTAAGCATTTTCATGAAAAAGGTTTTATTATGTATTGTTATTTTGATAAGCTATATACCCTTCCTTTCCCTATCTACCAACATGTTCATATTATTAGGTACCTATCAAAGTCATAAGGTCAAACCTAAGTAACCTAAGGTGCGATTGCGGTCAAATACCTGCCTTGTTATGCATAAAAAAGTACTACAAAAACAGGTTGTGTAAATGATGAGAAGTATTTTCCTGTATATTTAAGACCTTCCGACTTCAATTGACGTCAAGTCACGAATAAAGCTCGCAAAGTTGGTTTTATTTCAATTCTTGGGTATCTTCATGGCTCCTTTGCCGTGGCAGTGGCATGAAACTGACAAACTTCGACAGTTGAGCCCGAGGCTACGATGGTTCAATCCAATTATGCCAGCGACTATTCATTAGGTACATTGCGGCGGCAAGCGCAAGCGAAGGATCCTATCTAAGATGGTGCATAACTTAGATTGTATGATAGAGATTCCCACCAGTTGCGTCGAATGGTGTGCATTTGTTTTAATTAGTCTGAGTTGATCAGTAACCGGTTGAATTTAAACTTAACTGATTGTTTAATTGCTCGAAATCTATAGTTTATTGAACAATTCATTTCTAATATTGACATTTAGCTGGCGAAGGCTGGCGATCTTTTTATACCCTCAGTAAGTTTTGCTATCTCTAGCAAATCTCTACCGACAACTATGTATTTCAGGAAACGCAGGTTTCAAAGAACGATTTGATTTGATTCTGGTCAGTTCTCCTGCACCTGCATTCTATGCGATTCCTTACGCATTGCTTGGCAGGAATTTACCAAGTTTCCTTACGGCACGTGGCTGTTTTTTCGTCTCCAGCCCAGACTGTATGTTCGATACCCCGGGCCGTTGGCAACGCTCGCGTGCGGAGTCTCCGCTGCTCCCCTCAGATCGATTCATGTATGATTTGTTTTGGTATTTCGCGTGACATCGCCATCTCGAATGATGTCGATACTGTCTATTTCGTTGAAGGCAGACGTTGACACGACAAAGGTTTTTTTAGGTTTGGTTTATAAAGATGCTTTCTTTTTCCAAGCCAGCAATATTCAATATAAACAAATGCCAGGTCCTTTTCAGGCCTATCTACTTTTTACTGACTTTGATGAAATTATTTTAACTACACCTAATATTATAGAGCAGAAGAGTTTGTAAAATGTCAGGAATCTTTACCTAGTATATTTGAAAAATTATTTTTGTATTGCATAGCCCATTTATCGAGGAAGGTTTTATACTATTCCGCTACGATCAATAGGAGTAAAGCATCAATGAAAAATGTTGCGCGAAAATGTTACCTAGATACTCGTATTGATAATAGTTTTTATTAAATACAGTCGTAAAAGGTAAAGTCCAATAATTGTGGAACATGATTTAAAATTCCACTGTCATTGCGCACGTGGCAAAAATATGGATCTGTCAAAATGTTCACTTGAACTTTGGACTCGGAATTAAAATACAATGCCATGAATGAATGTTGCTTTTTTGTAACAGTCTAGAAACAATGTTAATCTTTGATGGCTTTATTAATGTTTCTAAACAACTTGACGTGACAAGGCCTTCATTATTATAAACATTTTGTAAACACGTACAAGTTTAAATAAAAAGGAAAATTATATGCCAACATTTTCAAATGCCATAGTTTTCTATACGAGTTGGTAGCAGCCCTGACACAGTGAGAGGAGCGCACCAGCGCCATATAGCCAGATAGGCGAAGCCTGAAAATATCCTGAAAACGCTGGTGCCATGAAAGTTAATTGTTTTCCATGAAAATAAAATAAAATTAATAGCTTTCATGTTAGTTATTCTAAGCAATGAAGTTTAGAACCCAAAACAATCTTAATCAACGCAAATCGAGGAAGATACATATTGCGAAATATCATACACCCGTGTTCACAAACATTACTATGAGGTCTCACAGAGTGCGTGGACGCACAGGGTCCCAAAAACCTATTCATAGACAACACTTGAGTGATTGCGAACCAATCACAGAGCTCTAATCTAGAGTAGGCGCATACCGTTGATTTTTCGTCGGCCGATAGTTTAGTCGGGCAGTTGATCAGTATGGGCAATATGGGCATGTATGGGAGTGGGCACACTACGCCGATTCGATTTGGCCGATTCTTCATACAATTTAAAATCGGGCACAACTATCGGCCAACTAAAAATCAACGGTGTGCGCTTACTCATAATCGCGTTGTACGTTCGACTTCGCATAGCGTTGCAAGTATTGTTTGTGAATACGGGTGATAGTAGATGTAGCTATCGAACCAAACCACGTGAGCGAGGCAACTTCCACAAGTCTCGAATCCGTGAGCTAAGCCGGGAAAGGGCCACTTCCCCAAGTCTAATTTAGGTCTAATCCGAAAGAAGTCCGAATCTCTATTTTTACCGGCATAAACAAGTTTTATGGGTGGCGCGTGTAAATACAGTGGTCCGATTGAGCCCCGAGTGGCGTGCGAGGAAAGTGTGTCAGACGGTGTCGCCGGCGTTTCACTGCCAGCTTTATGGACTGCCCGGCGTGCGGAGCACCGAAGGGACTGTTCAGGGAAACCCCCGAAAATTATCTGATCTGAATAAATAACTGTCCGCAAAGGGGATTGCATAACATTTAACATAACCTATTACCTACTTTACTGTTTCAATTAATGCATGAAAATAATGTCACTGGTCCGATTTGAAAAAAAAATTGTATTGTCAATTAATTATCAAGGAAGGCTATAGCTTAATAACCAATAGTGGCGGAGTATTAGAGAAAAATGTTGCAATAACTGGAAATATTATTTAACTTTATTTAGGTACACGAAAAAAGTCGCGGGCATAGCTAGTCAAAAATGCAAAAACTGATTTTTTAAAATAAATTGTAACTTGACTAATGGACATACCTAGACGCGTTAATTTTCAGGACATATGGTACGAGTACCTATATCAATATTGATTGGTGGAATCAACTACCTAATTTATTTGTACGTTTATTACCAATTGTCTGAAACCTATTTTCATTCAAATACTTTAAATAAAACAAGAATTATACAGTGTCCGAAATTGAACCACAAAGTTGCCGATTCATGGATATTCATATGAAATGTAATCCATTACTGAATATTGAAGTCGACGTTCGAATGAAACCAATAACAAAATTAAATTTTATTATCAACATTCGCAGTTTATTTGGGTCGCTTTCTAAATAATTTGTGGGTGCAATAGACATGATACCTACTTTACGACGTCTCAAGGACAAGATCTGTTTTATAATTTAATTACGACATATCAATTTACGAGTATAACTCAAATATTATATTTATTTCTATGGTATTTTTTAGAACGTTTTGATTTGGTGACTGTAAATAAATATTGATGTGTATCAGCTCAATCAGCTTGTGATTTATTATAGCCTGCATGCTGCAGTATACTAATTTAGATTGTACGACCTCTGACTGACCAAATTACGACGACGAACGAAGTCATGTAGAAAATC